ATTCTGTCCAGTTTGCATATGAAAGACGGGTTACCTGGTGGATTATTATGTAAAGATGACATTTAAAGGGATACTCTAAGCTTTAAAACAATTTTAGCTCAATTATGTAATTTACGTGTATAAATCATGCCCCTGCAGTCTCACTGCTCAATTCTCTGCCAGGAGAATGAATCAAATCACTTTGACGTTAGTAGGGAGTCTGTGTAAGTCACACGCAGGAGGTGTGGCTAGGGCTGTATAAACAAAGTGATTTAACTCATAAATGGCAGAGAACTGAGTAGTGAGACTGCAGGAACATGTATACACCAAAACTGCTTCATTGAGCTAAACTTGTTTTGATGCTTAGCATAGCCCTTCAATTTACTATTAAATTAAATAAAGTTGTGTGTAACATGACAAGTATACTTTGAGTGCATTTAATTTAGATATTGTATAGTCTGTGTGTTAGAAGCGTTTGTATATTCATATTCTTCCAATTTGCAAAACCAAGCCCAAAAGAGAGAAAATCTGTTTCAAATGCTTGATACTCCAGAAATATTTTGTTAAACACGACCTGCTAGTGCCACTAGGGACCATAAACATATTTACTGTTCTGAGAAATTGGTATGATTAGGTTTTATTCCTCTGCACTATGAAACATTTTTATTTTCTCTTTTAGGGTTTATTATAAGTCCTATTTCGGTGGTGCGACTGCATTGACGCAACACCAGTTTGCCAAAGTGAACGGATATTCCAACAATTACTGGGGATGGGGAGCGGAAGATGATGATCTGCGTAGACGGTAAAGGTTTGGACCAGTGAAAATGGTGACGCCTCAAAAATTGTAGCACAAATCATAGCGTGACAAGTGTTTAAACATGAGTGGGCTACATTCACGTCTTCGGCTGTCCACTTATAATTACCAAGTTCTTTTACTAACTTTGTGGACGACTGTTTTGCCGTGCTCTGCAAGGCTCTTTGACCCATATAGTCAATGCACAATAACCTGGGGAGAAACTCACTGGTCATCAAATAGTATAAGAATGTCGGCATTTGCTCCCCATTACTCTGCTCTAATTAACGTACCAATAGCTCCTTCCATAGTTCATTCACACTTTTCAGCAGTGGTACATTCACACCCTTCAATGGTTCCTTCACACTCTTCAATGGTTAATTAACAACCTTCGATAGTTAACTTGCACACCCATCAATAGTTAATTCACACCCTTCAATGGTTCATTAACAACCTTCGATAGTTAACTTGCACACCCATCAATAGTTAATTCACACCCTTCAATGGTTCATTAACAACCTTCGATAGTTAACTTATACACCCATAAATAGTTCATTCACACTCTTCGATGGTAAAATTACACACCCATCAATAGTTCATTTACACTCTTCAATTGTACAATCAGGTGGCAGCAGCTCCAGCTCATTCTAAGATGGTATGAGAGTCATAAAGGTAGAGGCGCTGGGGACTTGTACCTTCATGTCACTTACCCAGTATGCCCTTCACTGGACCCCTTATGACTACATCATGGGTAGAGTCACTGGTATGGTCTTCTCCTGCATTCAGCCACATGGCCTTAGCCTTCAGCAATCATCTCCAATGTTTTATACATTATATGAGAGATTATATGATGCAATAAACTGATATTTTACAGTTGTTCACATTTATTTCCAGGGTTATATTACATAAAATGAAAGTGGTTAAACCTGCACCGGATATTGCCAAATACACCATGATTATGCACAAACGGGACAAGGGCAACGAAGTGAACTCCAAGAGGTGGGTATACTGGATCTGGGTTATTTACTTATAGGCACAGAAAGGATGGGATTACACATGAATGGCACAATGTCTGTATTTGTCAGATGGCTGCTAGAGGTGCTTCCTGGGGCACAATGTGCAGCACTGACATTCAGTGTCTTAGCCCTCTGCATGAAGCCACTGAACTCTCCTCATATAGATGCATTGATTCAATGGATCTCCATGAGGAGATGCTGATTGGCCAGGGCGGTGTTTGACTTGTGCTGGCTCTGCCCCTGATCTGCCTCCTTCACAGTTTCAGCCAATCCTATGGGAAAGCATTGTAACTGGCTCACCGAATCACTTTTGATGATGTCAGGCATGCAGGCAGGTCAGGGGCAGAAGGAACAGCTGCAGACTTGAACACAAGTAAGATTTTACTATATTTACGGAGGCAAGGGGGGTGGACCGGGGATAGATGTGGTTTTAACACTATATGTTTGTGTTCCCTATAGTGTTCCTTTAATTTGGCCCATCCAACATCTTCCAAGTAGCGTGGCCGAGCAGTCTGACAGGAGGTGCTCACTAAGAGAGAAATTCCTGTCAGACAAGGAACCATAGCGGTGACCAAGGAGGGGAGGGGGAGAGATGGAGGAAAGAGACACATAGAGGAAGGGGAGAGAGAGGGAGGAAAAGGACACCTGGAGGGGAGGGGGAGATGAGGGAAGAAACGGACACATAGAGGGGAGGGGGGGGAGGACACATTGAGGGAGGGGGAGAGAGAGGAAAGGGACACATGGAGGGGGAAAGGAGGAGAGGGGTGAGAAAGGGACACCTGGAGAAAAGGGGGGACAGGGGAAAGAAAATGGACGCATGGAGGGGGAAATGAAAGAGGAAAGGGACACATGGAGGGGAGGAAAGGGACACATGGAAATGAGGGACGCAATGAGAGAGGAAAGGGACACCTGGAGGGGAGGGGGGAAGAAAGGGACACATGGAAGGGAGGTGGTAGAGAGAGAGGAAAGGGATACATGGAGGGGAGAGGGAGAAGAAAAGGGGCATCGGGATGGGGGAATGAGGGAGTATTGGGACACATGGAGGGGGAAGTGAGGGAGGAAAGGGACACATGGAGGGGGGGTGAGAGGGGAAGAAAATGGACACATGGAGGGGAACTGAGGGAGGCAATTACAGAGGAAACGGACACCTGGAGGGGAGGGGGAGAGAGGGAACAAAGGGACACATAGAGGGGAGGGGGGAGAGAGAGAAAAGGGACACATGGAGGGGAGGGGGCAGAGGGAGGAAAGGGACATCTGGAGGAGGGGAGAGAGGGAAGAAAGGACAAATGGAGGGGAGGGAGGAGAGAGGAAATGAGGGAGGAAAGACAGGAGGGGAGGTGAGAATGAGGGAGGAAAGGGACACATGGAGAGGGGTGAGAAAGGGACATGGAGGGGAGGTGAGAGAGGGACACATAGAGGCGAGGGGGAATAAGGGAGGAAAGGGTCACATGGAGGAGATGGGGGAATGAGGGAGGAATGGGAGACATGGAGGGGAGAGGTGAGAGAGGGACACATGGAGGGGAGGGGTGAGAGAGGGACACATAGAGGCGAGGGGGGAATAAGGGAGGAAAGGGACACATGGAGAGGAGGGGGGAATGAGACACATGGAGGGGAGAGAGGGAGGAAAGGGACACATGGAGAGGAGGGGGGACTGAGACACATGGAGGTTAGAGAGGGAGGAAAGGGACGCATGGAGAGGGGAATGAGACACATGGAGGGGAATGAGGGAGGAATGAGATAAAATCTTTGCACTGGGGCCCCGAGGTTTGTAGTTACTTCTCTGTCAGCAGTGTAAAAATAAATAATCCAAAACAAAACATGTGACATACTCACCAGTTTACACTCTGGATAGTGTGCTTTGATATTCTGAGTTTACGTGAAAGGGAAACTGACACTTTTCTGGAGATTTCACTATTGAATACAACATTGAAAATCAACTGAGACTTGTTTTAACATTTTTTCCATGTGATTCTCCATTTTCTTCTCAATCTTCAGGGCACAGAATGCACCGGAGAAGGAGAATAGGAAACATTGTTACTGTTCTCTGTAGTTGTCTATGCTCTATCTGTGCTGTTAGACGGGTGTTGATTGATACATTGTTATGTACAATTTTATTGTACGATTTTACATTTTATAGGAAACTTAAGCTTAAGTGGTTTTAATTTTAGAATATTTATGAAAATAGGGTATATGTAAACATAAAATTAAAAGTCCTGGGAACTAATAGTTTCTCTTTAACTATGTATTTTATATAGTTTTGTTTCTGTTTTCTATTAAAACAGAATGCAGCAATTGAACAGAGTTCCCAAGGTCTATAAGACAGATGGGCTGAATTCCTGCTCCTACAAACTGCTATCGATAGAACACAACCCTCTGTACATTAACATTACCGTGGACATTGGATCTCCAAACTCCTAATTTTAGCTCTCCGAGACGGATAGACTACCGGAGGATGTTTCTCAGATTCTTGTATTTGTAAATGTATGCACTTAATATAAATTTTAAAAAACTGTTCTATATTTTTATTGTAGAAAAACAGGGAATAATGGAATACACCGTCTTGCTCATTAAATTTATTTTTAAACTCTCCAGATCTCCTGCCTCCTTCCTACACCATCAGACCTGCCTGAGAACCCAAAACAGGGTCCCTGATCCCCGACATGGAATATAAGTTTACATTGTTAATGATTTTTCTTTCGTAAGATATTTAAAGCCTCAATGTAATATTTTTGGATAAGCTTTAACAAAACAATTGAATATTATGAAAAATATCTTCATTTTGTAATATTTTTATTTTTTTAAATATATTTATATATGTAACATTTTTGATACTTCTAAATTTAATATGAACAATATGAAATCATTTGAAAAACGTAATCTAAAAATATTAAATCGAGGCTCATGACATTCACATATTTTCATTCTTTTATTGTATTTTTGGTGTGATTGAAAGAGGTTGCTACTGCAGTACTTTTTTCATATCCAGTTTGTTTTGGACAGTCTTATACAATTCTATGTACAATTTTTAGTTGCCATTTTATGTTGCTATATACAGGAACCAAGAGATTGAGCAACTTCGGGTGCATACTAGAGTTTGAGGGCTGCACATGGAATAAAAGGGAAGATGTTATCCACTTAACCAATAATTATAGAAAACTGACATGGCATTGCAAATTGCCGAACAAAATAGCCAAGCCACAAAAATAGCGGATTTGTAAAATATTTATAACTCTGCTGTTGTGTCCGACAATTTACATGAACAAGTAAGAGTACAAACCAGAACAGAGACAAACTGCACCATCAATTGGTAAATGATTTAAAATGACTTCAGGATCTTGAAAGTATGCAATAAAATTTGTATTACTGTTCTTATGAACTTCCGTATAAAGTTTAGAGACAACAGCGGTAATCAAATTCCTTCATTAAAGTGACAGTAACATATTGGAACAAATAAGACTCATGCAGGCACCTTTGGTATATGGATGTTCTATGTCATAAGATGAAGGTTACCGCCTATGTCGTGGCACGTTGACTCTGAGTGTACAAGATCTAATTACAGATCACTCACAACTACCCCAAATTTTACAAAAAAATGGATATACGCCATTTTAAAAAAAAAACTTTCTTTAATTAAAGGACCACTCTAGGCACCCAGACCACTTCAGCTTAATGAAGTGGTCTGGGTGCCAGGTCCAGATAGGATTAACCCTTTTTTTTTTTTTATAAACAGAGCAGTTTCAGAGAAACTGCTATGTTTATAAATGGGTTAATCCAGCCTCTAAAGCCTCTAGTGGCTATCTCATCACAGTGAAAATCACAGTGAGAAGACGCCAGCGTCCATAGGAAAGCATCATTAATGCTTTCCTACGAGACAGGCTGAATGCGCGCGCGGCATGCACATTCAGCCGACGAGGAGGATCGGAGGCGGAGAGCTCCCCACCCGGCGCTGGAAAAAAGGTAGGTTTAACCCCTTTCCTTGCCATCCAGCCCGGCGGGAGGGGGTCCCTGAGGGTGGGGGCACCCTCAGGGCACTATAGTGCCAGGAAAACGAGTATGTTTTCCTGGCACTATAGTGGTCCTTTAAGAACATTTTCCAACACAAATACAGAAAATGACAAAAAAAAACACATAATCCCGACACATAGTTTAAAGGACAACAGTAACCCGGTGGAGTAACTAATTATCTGTTAGAATATCATTCTCACCTTGCCCGGCTGCAGTAAACTCCCAAAGCAAGTCATGGCCAGGCAGCTTTTACACTGCTCTTCAATAAACCTCAGTAAATCTGTGTATTTTATAAAAAGAAACAAAACACCTCCTCCTCCACCCCCCCAAAACAACGACAGATTTCATTTATGTAGCAGATACTGTATGCTTAAAATAGTTTTGCAATGACACTTTTTCTGCACTGCAAACCTTTTAGATCAATAAATTATATTCAGTTCTCTGTGCTTGGATCCTGAATTAATTAAATACATTTTTTTATTTTTATTTTCAGCTACTGTGATTCTCTTGTGGACAGACTATTCAGTCTACTTGTTTTTAAAGCCTACCTGAGTTTGTGAAAACATCAGCTAAGGGTGTGTACAAACGGCAAACTTTGTAAAGAAGATGGCCAGATGGTTTGTAGTAACCCCATGTCATTGTCACATTGTCAATCCTGTAGGATTGCTGTTTTATCAAGAAAGAGGCAGAAATGTTTAAAAATTATTTAAGTACATTTTATTGAAAGATCAAATATATCTGTACATGTTATGGGATGGAAGCTTTATTGTAATTGCTTAAGGCAGTCTGTATACGTTTCTTTTGCCATTAGGGCAGTCTTTATTATTGATTGAATTCTGGACAAGCATTTGCTTGGGTCCCCTGGACCTGATCCCCCACTCCCTGACATGCAATCACACCCTCTACCCCAACGCAGTGGCTGAACTAAAGTAGAAACCCTTATTGCAAGGGTGGCAAAAAGGTAGATCCCCATCTGTCGTGCAACTCCAACAATGCTTTGACAGCTGGGGCTCTACCATTTTCCCGTGCTTGCAAGAGTGTATTTAGCACTGAGCCCTGTTTGTGTGTAAATGTAAGCATGTTTTTGTATGGAGTATTTTTGTGTGAATGTAGGGGTTCATTTGTATGTGGTGATGGTGTTTGAATGCAAGCATGCATTTATGTGTAATGTGGGTTTTTAAATGCAGGGGTGTCCTTATATATAATTTTGGGGTTTAACACAGAGGTGTGTTTGTATGTAGTGTTGATGTTTGAATGCTTAGATGTATGCGCAGATAGACATACTGATACACACACACAAAGGCACATACACTGACACACACACACACACACCTAAACTGACAGACATACTGACACACACAGATACATACACCGACAGACATACTGACACACACAGATACATACTCCAACAGACATACTGACACACACAGATACATACTCCGACAAACATACTGACACACACACAAACTGACAGACATACTGACACACACAGATACATACTCCGACATACATACTGACACACACACACACACACACAAACTGAGACATACTGACACACACAGATACATACACTGACAGACATACTGACACACACAGATACATACACTGACATACTGACACACACACATACATACACTGACAGACATACTGACACACACACACACCTAAACTGACAGACATACCGACACACACAGATACATACACTGACAGACATACTGACACACACACACACCTAAACTGACAGACATACTGACACACACAGATACATACTCTGACAGACATACTGACACACACAGATAAATACACTGACATACTAACACACACAGATACATACGCCGACAGACATACTGACACACACAGATACATACACTGACAGACATACTGACACACACAGATACCTAAACTGACAGACATACTGACACATACACCGACAGACATACTGACACACACAGATACATACACTGACAGACATACTGACACACACAGATACCTAAACTGACAGACATACTGACACACACAGATACATACACTGACAGACATACTGACACACACAGATACATACACCGACGGACATACTGACACACACAGATACATACACTGACAGACATACTGACACACACAGATACTTAAACTGACAGACATACTGACACACACAGATACCTAGACTGACAGACATACTGACACACACAGATACATACACTGACAGACATACTGACACACAAGCAATATTTACATTTTTAAACCCACCGTCCAGTTTCCTACCTTTTGGCTTCCCTGGGATTCTCCAGCTTAACTGATTAAACACCCCTAGCTATTACGAGGGAGGTTGTGGCTGTAGGTCAAACTGGTACAGATCCCTGTTTGAATTTGTGATGAAACTCCCACCAACCCAAAAACCTGATGAAAGCAGGAAGACCCCCCATCCACAAGCAGGGCTGTCTCCTTACACTCTTTTTTTTTCTTCTTTCTTTTATTGAGACAAAGTAATGTACATTACAGAAAGGAAAAGGCAAAGTGCCGGGGAGCACGCAGTGCTATGGCAATGACACATGGGTTATATACAATGCAGAGTCATCCGTCTAATTTTTTTTTTTTTCTAAAGAGTAAAACAAGCTGACTTAATATGTCAAGTGTAACAGTGTAAGTATTTCAGTTGAAATTTAAGCAGGTGTGCAGGTCTGTAGCAATCGGGGTACAAAAGAGTTGCAAGTATATTTTACCTGCGAGAAATATTGGCCCTTAAGCCTGAGGTTATTACAAGGTTATGGGCCTATGCAATCTTAGGCTAGGTGCTAGTGAGACACAGGAGAGGGTGTGGGTATATAGAGCATGCCATGGTGAGTGGCCCCTGAGTAGTCACGAGTATATCCCTTTGTGCTGAAAAGGAAAAGATAGGTTTCAAATGTATGACCCAGGAGAATGGTTAAATTAAGAATTGTTGAACATCTAAAATCACATGGATTTCAAGATCAGAGACAACATGGGTTTACTTCAGGGAGATCATGCCAAACTAATCTTACTGATTTTTTTGATTGGGTAACTAAAATAATAGATCAGGGTGGTGCAGAAGACATTGCTTACCTAAATTTCAGTAAGGCTTTTGACACTGTTGCACATAGAAGGCTTATCAATAAACTGCAATCTTTAAGTTTGGATTCCAATGTTGTTGAATGGGTAAGGCAGTGGCTGAGTGACAGGCAACAGAGGGTTGTAGTCAATGGAGTATATTCGAAGCATGGGTTTGTCACCAGTGGGGTACCTCAGGGATCTGTACTTGGACCCATTCTCTTTAATATTTTTATTAGTGATATTGCAGAAGGTCTTGATGGTAAGGTATGTCTTTTGCTAATGATACTAAAGATATGTAACAGGGTCATAAGCAGCTCATTGCATTAGGGCACCCTAGCACAAACACACTTACGGTGTGTGTGTATATATATATATATATATATATATATATATATATATATATATATATATATACACACACACAACAATACCACCACACATACACACACTCACAGACACACACACACACACACACACCACACAGACACACACACACACACACACACACACACACACTCTATACACACACACACTTACACTCACAGACACACACACACTCACAGACACACACTCACACACTGACACACACACTCACACTGACACATACTCACACACTCACAGACACACACACACTGACACATACTCACACACTCAGACACACTGACACATACACACTCACAGACACACACTCACACTGACACATACTCACACACTCACAGACACTCACACACTCACACTGACACATACTCACAGACACTCATACACTCACAGACACACACACACACTGACACACACACTCACAGACACACACACTCACACTGACACATACTCACACACTCACAGACACACACTGACACATACTCACACACTCACAGAAACACACACTGACACATACTCACACACTCACAGACACACTGACACACACACACACAAATTATTATATTTTAATTTAAAAAAAAAAATGTCCACCCAGCCTCCTACCTGGAGTGCTGGTGGACTTTTCCCTGGGGTCCAGTGGGGGCGGGCGCCTTTCCGCAGTTCAGCCGCGGCGAGGGAGCTCTCTGCTGTCTGCTCCCTCTCGCCGCGCGGGCTGTCTGCTGCAGCTGGGAGCCGGAATATGACGTCATATTCCGGCTCCCGGCATCAGCGCGCGGCGAGAGGGAGCAGAGAGCTCCCTCGCCGCGGCTGAACTGCAGGGTGGGTGGAATCATCACCTCTTGCCCTCCCATGACAGGGGCAAGAGGTGAAACAGGGGGCACTGAGTGCCTGCAGGAACGCTGTTCCTGCAGGACTCAAACCATAGGCGTGCCACGGGGATTAGGGTGTACCCAGGCACACCCCATGCGCACGCCTATGAACAGGGTTGATGTTCCAGGAGGGATAAGCAAAATGGCAAATGATTTAAGTAAACTAGAAAAATGGTCAGAGTTGTGGCAACTGACATTTAATGTGGATAAGTGGAAGATAATGCATCTTGGACGTAAAAACCCAAGGGCAGAGTACAGAATATTTGATTGAGTCCTAACCTCAACATCTGAGGAAAGGGATTTAGGGGTGATTATTTCTGATGACTTAAAGGTAGGCAGACAATGTAATAGAGCAGCAGGAAATGCTAGCAGAATGCTTGGTTGTATAGGTAGAGGTATTAGCAGTATAAAGAGGGAACTGCTCATGCCATTGTACAGAACACTGGTGAGACCTCACTTGGAGTATTGTACGCAGTACTGGAGACCGTATCTTCAGAAGGATATTGATACTTTAGAGAGGGTTCAGAGAAGGGCTACTAAACTGGTTCATGGATTGCAGGATAAAACTTACCAGGAAAGGTTAAAGGAACTTAACATGTATAGCTTGGAGGAAAGATGAGACAGGAGGGATTTGATAGAAACATTTAAATACATAAGAGAATCAACACAGTAAAGGAGGAGACTATATTTAAAAGAAGGAAAACTACCGCAACAAGAGGACACAGTCTTAAATTAGAAGGGCAAAGTTTAAAAATAATATCAGGAAGTATTACTTTACAGAGAGGGTAGTGGACGCATGTAATAGCCTTCCAGCTGAAGTGGTAGAGGTTAACATGCATGAGTGGGATAGGCATAAGGCTATCCTAGACTTAAGATAATGACAGGGACTAATTAACAGTATTTAGAAAATTGGGCAGACTAGATGGGCCAAATGGTTCTTATCTGCCGTCACAGTCTAGGTTTCTATGTTAAAGAAAAATAAAAAATTAGATTAAAAAGTAGAAAAATATAGAGAAATTAATTAAATAAATATATAAATCAAAAGAAAACCCGAAATGGGGACGGGTAGGGAGGGAGAAGGTATATCTCACTGAGAACAATAGTGGTTTTGGAAAGTAAGCCATCCATTATCAGGGTTTACCTGTGGCACATCCAACCCTGCTCTGTCGCCTTTACAGTGTTTACTGCAACACGAAGGACATAAAGGAAAATGAAAATAAAATGAAAACAACAATAACATGGCTGAATATGTTTGAGTGCATACTGTGGCACAGTAGATTGGTAAATCCAAACTTTGGTTCTGGGTGTTCCTGCCCAGGTTGTTGTCAGGGATACTGCAAGTGTCCAGGATAGTCAGGAGCCAAGGTCGGGTCCCAAGTCTCAGGTGGTGCCTGTTTGGGTGGATTGAGATCCAAGAGATTGAAAGAAGGTAGTGGTGTCTTCCAGAGAGCTGATGAGGGGAGTAACTCTGTTGCGGGTTACCAACAGAGAGCCGGTGGACCCCCACCGATAGGGAACTCCATTGGACCGGAGATGAGTGGTGACAGGACCCATACATTTGCACCATTGCATAAATTTAAGATAAAAAATCCTTACAGTTAGAGTGGTAAGTCATTCAAGTTTCCAAAACACCTTTCGCCCTTCTGGGGAGCTTCCTCAGTTGTTGTGGTTCGGTACTCAGGACACCTGCAAACAGTGGGCATTCAACGACTTAAAAGAAGGGCAGAATATAGATCGAACCACAATAAATCTTATATTGTTTTTAAATCTTTGTGGAAAATAAAGCACATATATGAATTATTGAATTGGTGACTGCTATCAATGATCTGAGGCTGTTGCAGCATACAGAAGAGGGAGTGGGACCCTACAAAATCCCACCACACTGATATCTTGAGCTGAGAATTTACTGGCTCTTTATTTATGAGTGTATATACATATCTCAATCTTCTCCAACTTTTCCATTCAGACAATATTGCGCTAGTGTTTGTTTTCCTTTCTCCCTTATTATAGGATTACACTCCTTAAGGATTCAAGCGTTCAGAATTTATATGTACGATACTCCACCTTGTGTATATTTACAATGATGCGTTTCTTGTCCGCGGTGGAAGTACATCATACAATTACATCGCCTGTCGCCGAGGTTGTGGGTTTAGCTGTGCCTTTAATCCGGTAGATCCCATCTAGGGTGATTTTCTTGTTAACCGCAGGCAGTAGAATGGAGGCAAGCAGTCTCCTGATGTAATGGCATAGCTCAGCAGACGCGATTGTGGCCATGATACCACACATTTTTACATTGTTGCGGGGGTTTTGGTCTTCGAGTGGTGTCATTCGTTGGGACAGGTTATATTGGTGAGTGTGGAGTATTTGGACTGAGCCATCCAAGTTGGATACTGTGGCCTGAACGTCCATTATATCTTCCTCCTTTGCTTGGATTCAAATCCGTGTTAGCTTGGATCTCTGTCCTGAATGATGAGCGTCAAATATGATAGCTCATGAAGATTAGGGGAGAGGCATTGGAAAGGTGGGGAAATAAAAATTATTTAAGACAAAGAGTATGGTGTTGTTTGGATACAAAAGATGGAATGGAATAGAGAGAAGGAGATGAAAAGCTGGGGAAGAAAATGTTAGAAAGATTACATTTAACTAAAGAGACTAGACTGGAAAATGAGACGGTTAATAGAGTCTGGAGGGAAAGGCGATCCTGATACCTTCCAGAGGTAAAACATTATTAAATGCATGTGATAAAATCACTCAAAGCAAAGTATGAAAACTACATTTTTTATTTCAACATAGTGAATAGTTTTTTTTGCACTCATAAATAAATACATCACAGCAAATATAACATGTCTCATTAATATTTATTGCCCTAAGACAGAAGTCTCCATATTAATCAAATATCTTTATATTTTACTATCCTTATAGTTTTATGAAACATTTATAGGGGTTTTTCACAAAGTTCCGAAGATTTGTCTCCCTCAAAATGTGTAGGGAAAAATATTTGAGCAATTCCTAGCCCTTTGCATTTTGCACACCCCTTTTAAATTGATACAAATGAGCACTCATTTCTAGCCCATTAAAAAATGTATATCAGATTTTCCAATGTGGGACCAAGTAACTTGAAACTGCTAAGGAATTAAGGCACAATTTTCAAATTCATTTCAAATTTAGTAACTAGAGTAGTCTGCTGTGTGCAAGCAGCAAGCAATTACAATTAAAACGCTAAATTAAATATATGAAATGTGAGTCCCCCAGATTCCATACCATGTTTATTCACACCACATAGGAAAATAAAGGGTCCTTTGGGAAGTTCTGTTTGATTGAATTATTTAGAAATAATTCTGTGTTGACAAATGTCAAAATGTTTATATGATAAAACTAATATTTTGCACAATATTTGAAATAACCATTTCGGCTTACCATCCTTTCTATGGAGGATCCCACACATCCGCGAGAGTGCAGTGCTGACTTCGGCTCCTGGCAGCTGAAGTGTCATGAACCGAAGAGAATATGAATAGGGGACAGGTAAATAAAATCTACTTTCTCTGCCCCCCATGGCCAGTGAACCCCCAAAGGCAATGTCATCGTCAGGGGTCTTTGCAAATTATGCAAAGATGTAAGACGGGGACAGAGCCACTTTAAAAGAACACTCCATTAGAAGAAGAAAAACCTTAGTAAATGTGTCCCCAATGAAAGCATGCATCTGATCCTGCATTTTTTTCTTGGGGTTTCATATCTAAAAACAGTTTCAGCAGCTTTGCAAGCTCACCCTTTTTTTACCCAGCCCAGACTGTGCCGGGGAACACTTCAATCAAAAACTTCTCATTTGAGAGGCCTCTGTTCTGGACCTGTGATCGCAGCTTTTCTATGCTTCTCAATAAGCCGTAGTACAGCAGTTCAAGAAAGGAGCAAGGTAGGTGAACACTAGCTCAGCACACCTGACACGTTTGTTAGCTCTGTCAAACTAATGAACACTGAAGCAAACCTCTCTGGATGTCTAATTGACAGTCTGACTGACAGCCAGGGAGGTGTTGCTGCCCTTAGTAATAAACAAAAGCAGTAACGTTTCAGCCTACACAGAGGTCTTTATCACGCTTGAAACCTACCTTCCTGCAGCAATCATGAGTGCCTGAACCCAATTTATATTACCTTAAAAAATAACAAAAAGTGGTGCTGGTCCCATAGGTTTTGGCCAATTCCCACAGGTGTCGTAGAAACAGTTGTGGGAAAAAGGGATCTACTTGTGCATCTTGAAAGATGGTTTATGGAGGATTCCATGGTATCGCAGGAACCACCATAACCTCTGTGTTGTACTCTCGAGAAAATATTCAGAATGGAATCCGCACACACACACACAAAAATAGATTGCCACAGATTTATTTTAGAAAAATATTATTTAAGTAGATATAATTTAAAAAAACAACAAATTGATACACTAACGTGTATTTAAATATTTTAAATGTGAAGAAAAATCTTTAATCTGCTTCACAGCTGAACTCGAAGAGATTCACGAAAAAAAGGAATCCAGAGAACGATATGATACTTTCATCTACAGAAAACAAGCTCCCAAGTGGTAACCTGCATGTAATAACACTGGTTCTTACTCACACGGTCTCTTTAAGAAACACCTGTTCAAACATCATTCAAATTCATCTTCAGAGACTTGCGTCCATCAAGCTCAGCCTACCTCACATTTGTTTAGAGTGCTGAAAACATGGAACTTTACAGCGTTGCAATATTCTTAAAGGGACACTACAGGCTAAAGCTGGCCCATTATATTTTATTTGCAAAACTTTAAAAATAATACTCAATGATCAGTTAATTGTTAATTATCAGCTATTAACAAATCAAGAAGTGATTCCACTCACTTAACTTTCAATAAGACACAAGGTAACGCATTTAGACTGGAAGAAAGGAGATTTAGCCTAAGGCAAAGGAATTTTTTTTATTTTTTTTTACAGTAACAACAATAGGGATGTGTAATTCTCTGCCTGAAGAGGTGGTTTTTATCAGAGCTTCTTCCAAGAGAGATCTGAATGTAATTTTGGGGTCAATAAGGACTGTTTTTTGTAAGTTTGTTGCAAAATTGGAAAGTCTTAAACTGTTTAAAATATACAAATTAATGTGAAAAAGGCTGAACTTGATGGACGCAAATCTCTTTTCATCCTGTGTAACTATGTAATAGTATTATTGAGCCCACCCCACTGTATCACTTTAGGGTCACAAAACTTTCTGGAAGTTGCAGTCTTCGGCCATTAGAGCAAAACGTTTAAATACATTAAAAACAAAAACAAAACACCCAGCACAACTAACTGCAAACTGGTGTAGACATTGCAAGAGAGGATATGGAAGCAATCCATCTTCTGGACTGTAAAATGCCGATTACTGCTCTCTGACTGTGATTTGTAGTGAGATGATGCCGTGTGTGTTTGTGCATGGCTGAGAAAAACAAATACACCAAGCATTCAAAAGTTTAAGAATATTTATAACAAAACAGGATTTTCTCTAGAGTCTTCCTCCACTATTATAATTACAGTACTGTATATACATTTTATAAAATAAAATAAAAATATATATCTTCGTTCTTTATATTCTGGGTTCTGTCTCGTTTTAGTTCCTTGGTGTCCCCAAAAGCGGGACAGTTAGAAGGCATGTTATTGAACTGTCCCCGAGGCAGCACACTGCGAGCATGTCATTAGAAGCGCTAGTGGTGTGCAGCGGTCACTAGGAACATGCAGGGAGAACTTTAGAAGTGATCCTTGCATGGTCCTCTGTGTAGGGTAGCTGTCCGGGAGGCTTTCTGTGAGCCAGGCTCGCATGCCATTTCAGTAAGTGGATCTGTCCTGTGGGCCCACCCACTCATCACGATTCCGGCAGGGCCAAACTTGGCAAGTATGCAAAGAGGTCCTTAAAAGCTACTTAGTCTATATCCTCACTCAGGGAACACACTGTAATGGAGTAGGAGAAATAAAACCACTGGGAGAGGTTTATCAAAGTGTCCTGAAAAGTGGGGCAGAGATGTAAAAAAAGGGGGAGTCACCAATAGAGCGTGCTTGCTGGCTCCAATGGTGATTTACCCAGAGAATCTTTGGCCACCTTTTGGATCACAACACTTTCATAGATCTCCTCCACAGTTTGTTTCTCCTTCTCCCAAGGAACCAAAACAGAGGTATCCAGTTGCAGGATGAAGAAATATTGTTTTTTACATTTAATTTTATTTTTCAGGTCTCATAAAAACACCGGGAATAAGTTTACATAATGTTAAACATTCTTGGAAGTAACGGTTTACCTTTAATATCTAAGAATCAGAAGATTCAATAGATGTATAAAGCTGTGCTTAAAGGGAGATTTAAATAAAGAAATAAGGCATACCGTCCATAAAAAAACACAAAATGGTTCTATCAAGACCATATTTAGCACCATGTTTCCATGAAATATAACACAGCAAACTCTATCTCAGTTAGTTTAGCGCCCCCCTACAAACATGGATTCTACACTATGGAATATTAACTGAAATGAAGTGTCTAAATTTCACAGCTTCTAGTTCAAGTGTTATCACAAATCAACTACTTAGTATTTGCGTATCTTTATTTAGAGCAACTTTTTGTTTACGCAAGGCTAGCCCATATATTCAATGGGTCAACCATTTTCAGGTATTCCATTATGTATGCCCATGTTTTTTTTAGTAGGGCTTCTTCATGCTTGGAATTGTGGGACGCCACTAGAACTAGTTACTGTCCATAAGGAGGATGTAATCTGTAACGAAGTATAAATCAATTATCACGCAGCAGAAATAATTCCCAAGGTAAGGCACAAACTTTGCAAAATGCAGAATAAAATAAACTTTTACTAAATTAAAACTATACATACAGGAACACTTAACAAACAATTTTGTGCCACCAAACACCCGTCAGTGCCTCATCCCTGGCTGCTGGTAGCTCCTGCCATTGAGTTAAGCCTGACCATACAGGGCTGCCCTCAGTGGCACCTCCATGGCAAGGCTTAGCTCTGTGGCGCTGAAGGAATCTCCTTCCAAGATCTTACAGCAGCAGTGGGGAAACGAAGAGCACTCCTATGGGTCCCAGGTAAGTGTCCAAACCATCCTTAACCCCTTAAGGACACAACTTCTGGAATAAAAGGGAATCATGACGGAATATTTCCGTCATGTGTCCTTAAGGGGTTAAACAGTTTGACTATTTACTGTGGGAAGGTGCCAGGGCACTCCTGACACCAACACCACTACAGCAGGCGCGTGTACCTTTACCTTCATATGGTGATGGTCTCTTTTTTTTCACAACAAAACGTCTTATTTAAAGAGCAATTCTGAAGCAATTTTTTTAAATGTGGAGCAAACGAATGGAACATTCCATTGGTTTCCATGGTGACTGCTGCTCTATAAGAACTTTTAACCAGAATGACTCCTCATACGTAACTCTTGCTCTTGGTTTGCCCATATGACGGCGCAAGCAGCACATATTTCAGAGCAAATCGGTGGATAACCTAGCAGTTGATGTGTCAAATAAATTTAATACATCAAAGGGACTCTTACCAAGAAAGTGATTGTGCAATAAATATATTTTCTTCATCTCTGTTACAAACCATGGATGGAGACTTCTTTATGGTTTGCCTTTCCTTAATTTTACACAAGATCTTTGTCTATGGGGGGAAAAAGATCCTGCAATAAAAATGTATTAAATTATTTGGTACAGCAACACAACCAGATATTTCAGCACAGTGAACAAGCTAAAGAAAAACAATAAGTAACATTGTTTATGAAACTTGAGATTAACCTTAAACTGTGTTTAAAAGAGGGTAACATACTGTTTCTTGGTAGTATTGGTTAACTTTAAACTGGTTCCTTAATATTCATTGTACCCCCACTTAATATGGCGGTGGCAAGTTTTCACTTTATTCCCCTTATGACAACAGGAGAGTTAAATCACCCTCTAGTGATACAGAACTGTTTAGTCTCTGAATAAACGTTGTAGTCCAAGTTTGGCCTTCCAGCCATTGTTGGTCTATATTGCTCACTATTATGGTAAACGCAGACCAATAACAGATAAAAACCAAGGTAAACCACCTATGTTGCAGACCATTCTTGGATGGCTTAGGTTGTGGTCTCGATAACGATTTCAACCAATCTGGCTCTCCACCAACTTGAGCTTCACAAGGAGTCAGTTGGAGGACATGTGGGAAAGTCCTATCTTTTAAAGGCCAACTTAAAACAATTTCCATTTGTTTGGTTTAGTGGTTGTTGTGGGTGGATTTCCAATATCTACAGTGATGTTCGTATAAAGAGGGGTTTCTTCTCGGGATAGCATACTGAAGACCAGTGAGTTCATTCCGTCTTCTCTCCATGTTCTTCTTGTGTTGCTCAAGAGATTATGTCTAAAAGAAAAGAAAAAAGGTAATTTAATAATGTACATAGATATAGGTATAGACTAAAGTGTTAATTCAAAGTGAATTTCGAATCTAAGGTAAAACCAGCCAAACTGGAAAAACTCTATAAGTCTGCTGTGCTCTCAGTTCGACTACTCTGGCCTTAAATCTGAAATTCACTTTGGAATTTGACTTTAGTGAATAACCCTGATCGTCAATAACTCTACTGGCCAATTTCTCACAAGTAATGAAGTTTTTTTTCTACCCAACTAGCCATCCAATATTAATTATTAACACTTTGAGAAGAATAGTTATTTTTGGAGCGTTGACTTGCTCTTGTTAAGCCCAGTAGGAGCTCAATTAGGGCTCCTTATGTTGTGAGTGGATACCTATTTTTATTTTACCATTATTTTTATAATGCAATCTAAATGGTGAAAACAAAACAAGGCACAAACTGAAGACAACCACTCAGATCAGCGATGCTTATAGAGTTTGTGTGGTTAAATACATTAAAAACCCAAAACAAGGTGAAACAATGTAAGGTACCAACTTGAAATTAAATCTTTAACAGCGTTAGGACATGTCATTACATCCTAGCTATACTGGCCTTTAATGCCTGTAGGGCATAATGACAGATCCTGAAAATGTGGTGTGAGCAGTGTTACTAATTCCCATTTAAATGCTGATAAATAGATCTTGGTTTCACCAGGACACCCAGGTATCAATAGATAATTTTTAGTGGCCCCAGACTGACAGGTGTGCTGCATGCTGAGCTCAGAGCGAGATTGGCATGCAGCTCTTTAAATGGGGATTTAAATCCCAACAGAGAGCAATGCAGTGTGAGCAGGGTTAAATCTCTGAACACACCAGGAAACGCAGGCATCAATGGATATCTGGGGCTCCTCTGTCTGTATGATGAGCTGCATATAGTGTTTAAAAATCAGCACTGCATATAGCTCTTTAAATCAATAGAGAAGACTGCAGCTGAGCCATCATGCTCACTCAAATTGATTCTCTAACTGGATCTAGTGTTTGAACAGACTCTGGAGGGTCTCCCTCCGTGACCCCAATGCACCATAAACTCATCTTCAAAAAAAACTGCAATGGGCAGGTTATAAATTAAGCTCTGTATTTTCACAAACACTTGACAAGGATATGAGAAAGGGGTCATTCTGTACGATTTAGTGACTTTTATTACAATAGCACATATCAAGCTTACAAAATATACAGCTAAATTGCAAATAATGCCAAATAATGCCAAAAATGTGGAGACATTTTGGTACTAAATGAGCTGTATAATAAGGCTCAAAATCTACCATAAGACAATGCCCCATTTTCACAAATGGTATGCATTTATCGGGTAAATTTAATTAATGAAGTCATACACTGTCCCAAAAAGCAGAATAGGCCCATCAAAATTCTAACTGTAAAAAACTAAATAGTAGGGTCACTTATATGGCATTGAAACTCTGCAAGATAGTGCCAAACACATACATTGGGAGTATTGTTTTATTCAGAAGAGTTAGCAGAGCATAATTTGGGGGGTTGATCATTGTGGCACATATATTTAAAAAAATTCTCCGTCAAAATGTAATGTGCATGTAGAAATGCAAAAAACATTCTCTTTACCAAAAAATTCTACATCAACTGGCAAAACAATGGCAAGATGTATGACCGCAGTTTCGCGGCACAAGAAGATGCCCGACATCGGAATAGCAAAAATTAGAGGGATCTCGGAAGACATACCTGAAGCCGAATTACCACACTTCATGAGGAGGCTCATGGCCGCCCTGCTACCACTGTGGCAGGCCAAAGCTATAACTCTAGATGTCCTATTCTGTATCTCCAAACCGGCTAAGGCACCGGCAGCGGTCCCGCGGGACTTGGTGGTCCAATTCAAGTCTGGGACAGACAAAACAATCCTTATGGCCCTCAGGGGGACGTCCCCATACCAATTTGAAAGCATGTTACTGACCTTTTACCAGGACCTTTCGAACAGTACCCTAGCCTGGCAGAGGTCCCTCAGGCCTCTTACCTCACTCTTACAGCAAAAGAATATACGCTACTGCTGGCGCATGTCTCGCACTCTCAAGGTAACCCATGGAGACTCCATGCACCTGCTCCAAGACATCCAAGACACACCAACATTGCTATGAACCTTGGGTCTACCTCAAGACAGTCTAAGTAGTAAAGACCCCACCAACGCTCCCAGACCGTCATACGCTTGGAATCCAGCGACGGTCACCCCAGTTAGCATACAGGCTGTGAATTAACTGATTTGACACGACAATGATTGCCATAAGGTTGATTACTCTGTATTGTCTCACCGGCTGGTACCTGCTATTGTGGCGATACTGGCATGTTTGTTCACACTATGCACGGAAAAATAAAGAATTAAAAAAAATTAGGGGTATTCCAACTCCAAACTGTAAAAACTCCCAAAATGTAGCTGGACATAATATGCAGTTTTGCACAGTAGTAGCACCGATCAGGTTTATGAAATACTCATTAAAAAACTTGCTATATGTGTGTATGTTAAAACTCAGAAAAAATTATATTTACTTCAATATTTATCAGAGATTTGGCAGTCAAATTGCTACAAAATAAGTACCAAAATACCCTTAGGACAACCATTAGTAGCATTCTAACACTGCAATGTACACAATATAAAATAAGGAACAGCACACAAATACAAAACAATACAGTTTTGATTTTACAAGGCTACTTAAAATTACCCACAGAACGGCAATGATTTCAGCTGCAGGGTTAAAACTACAGGGACATGGTACCAAGATCACTTCATTGAGATGAAATTGTCTGGGTGCCTATAGCGTCCCTTTAAGGCGTAAAGGACATCAAAGTGTACCTGTTGTGGTACATACTACTAATGCTCATTGTGACGAGAGCAATCTCGCCACATTGCATTGGAGAAGCCTGGTTGCTCGCCTGCTGCCTTTGGATTATGGCCCCATGTGAAAAGACTTTGTTTCCCCTGCAGAAAAGACTTATTCGTGCTTTTCTGCCCGGTGTTCGGTAGATTCAATCTATCGAACAACCGCACGAATGACTAGACCACCTGGGAGCTGGAGCGTGCCAGCAACTGATCCCCCAGAAGCTGCGGTTAACCACAGCTTAATTGACGAATACTGGGTGGCCGCCATTCGTATCATGAACACGAGGTCGTGGCCATTTTAAACACGCGAACGCACAGCAGTGTTCGACGCCTAACTCATGGAACTAAAAACGGACACAGTTTGGCGCGAACACCGCTGAACCCGCTGACCTCCCTTCTTGTTCGACGGGAGTGCACGAACGGCCCGGTGTTCGGTAGTTTTACCTGACTGTATTATACCCCAGATAGGAATCCCATGGAGCTCATTCGTATGAGAACTAACTTTGTAAAGACTTTGGCTCCATGGCGATTGGACTGTATTCGTGTGGTCTGTGCGCCATTCGCTTAATAACGTGCGCTCAGACCTGAGCTATCTGGGGATATGTTAAATGTATGGGTTTAATGTAACATGTCCTACATGGTGTATTTTAATAATAATTCTTGTTTTAGTATCCCCACGTGCATAATGGCGATTTGCCTTTGTCCTGGGAGATAACTGAATTACTTCTCAGTTATCTCCAGGGCAGAGGGGAAGAAGCCAGGATGCATTGTGGGAATACAATGTGTCTGTGTGTCCTAAATTGATACTTGTCTGTCTTTTGTCACAGTCTCCCATTTGGTCCCCTAGGGGAGTGTCCACCAGGTGGGAGACTTGCATAAATACTGGGCAGGTAGCCCTCATTAAACAGACCACTGCTTGACCTTCAACACGGAGCCTTGTCTCGTCTTTGGGGGGGATTTACTGAATGCTGACAGAGACTGATTGCTAGGAGTGTAAGCCGCTTGGATGCTTTTCCTTTTTGTCTGCTAGCAGCGATTCGTATGGTTCCAGTTCGTGAGTTTGGAGTGTTATATTGTATGCAGTTCGGGAGATTGGAGCATTCCCTTATTTGCGGTTCGGGAGTTTGGTGTTCTACAGTAGCTGCGCCTGCATCTCTGAAAGGGGACGATCGCCTAAACGGTTTTTACCCCTTGTGTGCAAAACGGTCCGTTACACTCATTTTAACCCCATAAGGACGGCGGGCGTTCTATGCTGTCCTTAAGGAAGCAGCTCTAAACGCGTAGGGCGGCATAGAATGCCCAAACCATCCATTGTACTTACCCGGTCACCGGCGATCGCTGTATGGGGACTCACCTGGGAGCCCAGGGAGTCCCCCTCCGTCCTCTTCGGCCCCCCTGGGCCATGTGATCATGAGGTCATTGCGAGGACCTCGCAATCACATGGACGGCCTAGCCGTCCAAGGCAGTGCCAGCAGGGGGAGTGCCTGTAATGACAGGTACTCCCCCTGCTGTCTCAAAATAAATAAAATAAAAGTAAAATCAGTGTAAAAATAAATAACCTATACTTAGATTATATATATATGATCTAAGTATATATATATATATATATATATATATATACACACACATATATACACATACACTAAGTGTATTTTAATATTTATATATATATAATTATAAATATATATATCATCAAAATACACGTACAATGATATCGATTAAATATATATAATTTTCATTATATATATATTTATGTATAATATAAATACATCTGTAAATACGTAAAAAAATTAAATTAAAAAATAATAAAAAATAAATAAAATATATATGTGTAAATTCGTTCTAACTCCATTCTAAAATTAATATATATACATATATATTGATATCAAAATACATGTAGAACGAAATATATATCTATATACATAAGTATACACGTATATATATCACTATATATATATACCCCATATATAAATAAAAATTATTTAAAAAAATTATATACATATATATATTTATATACACACATATATATAATAAGTCTACGTATATATTTATGTAATCATTTTACATAATTAGGTAATTTTATTAATTACAATTAGCAGGACCAGCCCGACAACCCAGGCCAAAAGTCCAAGGAATTTAATTTGCTAGTACTAAATTTAACCCTGTAACTTTCCAAGACACCATAAAACCTGTACATGGGGGGTACTGTTTTACTCGGAAGACTTTGCTGAACACAAATATTAGTGCTTCAAAACAGTAACATGTATTACGACGACGGTATTGTCAGTGAAAGTGAAATTTTTTGAATTTTTCACACCCAAATGGCACTTACACGGAAAATATAATTGTTGTGATACGTTTTACCGTTTTGAAACACTAATATTTGTGTTCAGCGAAGTCTCCCAAGTATAACAGTACCCCTCATGTACAGGTTTTATGGTGTTTTCAAAAGGTAGAGAGTCAAATATAAGGCTTGCATTTCAGTTTTTTTCACATTGAAATTCGCCAGATTGGTTACGTTACCTTTGAGAGCGTATGGTAGCCCAGGAATGAGAACTACCCCCATAGTGGCATACCATTTGCAAAAGTAGACAACCCAAATGGGGTATGTCCAGTCTTTTTTAGTAGCCACTTAGTCACAAACACTGGCCAAAATTGACGTTCAAATTAGTTTTTTGCATTTTCAAATATTAAACACTAATTTTGGCCAGTGTTTGTGAATAAAATTACATATAATAAGTGTGGGTGCACATAAAATGAAAGAGGTGAATTACACCTGAACAGATATATAGCGCAAATTAAAGTTTTTGTTTATGTTTTGCTCAGTCATTAAGGGGTTAAAGAGCATAAAATGTAATCCTTACGTTGGACTAGCAAACTTGTTTATTTATCATAGACTACAGTGTAAAACTGATTGACAGAGAGAGCAGGAGAGAGCTCCTACAGTGTGGTGGCTCCCTAGCGAATGCAGAAAGTGCAGTCTGAATGTCACACCCATGAAGAAGACGACACAGATGGTCTGCAGAGAAGGTGAGATCAGTTTATACCGTAGTAGTTTTTCTTAAATACATAATTTATCTCTATGAGAGATTGTGCATTCAATGCATGAAGGGGGGGATTTAGGCCAACATGAATTTATCACCACTTTAAATCCAGATGACAAATCTACTCTTCCCCGTTACACTGGTAATACATTAAATATATTTTAGCCAAAGGCTCTATACTGGACGTATTAGTCAGTGAGGTTTGATCTTATCTCTTAACCCCCATGCCCATTATGGAATGCGAGACATGAAGGTCATTTGTCTTATAGAATAAAAGTAACTGCTGACATAATATAGCTGCTCTCAGTTTTAATGAAAATCCCTGTTCACAGTTTAGGGAGCAAGTGCGGAAGGGGCGGGGCTTGAATGGCGTACTCGTGCAAAACTGGCAGAGTTATAGATCCCTAAGGTCACAAGTTAGAATCAACTGTGTGCAACAGATGTAGTGATGCATAGAGCTTCCCTGTAAAACTCCATTTAAGAAAACAAGTACAATGTTTTAAAAGGTCGATCTAAGCACCATAACCACTTCAGCTTAATTAATGCTAGATCATTGCTAATTTTTCCGACATTTAGGAGGGTAATACTTTATTCAATTCAGTACTTTATTTATACAGCCTTAGCCACACACCTTCCCTAACTGTCATTCACAGTTCCCTTTTTATTACTTTTAAAGGACCACTATAGTGCCAGGAAAACATACTCGTTTTCCTGGCACTATAGTGCCCTGAGGGTGCCCCCACCCTCAGGGACCCCCTCCCGCCCGGCTCTGGAAGGGGAAAGGGGTAAAAACTTACCTTTTTCCAGCGCTGGGCGGAGAGCTCTCCTCCTCCTTCCTCTCGGCTGAATGCGCACGCGCGGCAAGAGCTGCCATTCAGTTTCATAGGAAAGCATTTACAATGCTTCCTATGGACGCTATGCTCACTGTGATTTTCACAGTGAGAAGCACGCAAGCGCCTCCAGTGGCTGTCAATGAGACAGCCACTAGAGGCTTTGGGGGAAGGCTTAACCCATTCATAATTATAGCAGTTTCTCTGAAACTGCTATAATTATGAAAAAATGGGTTAACCCTAGAAGGACCTGGCACCCAGACCACTTCATTAAGCTGAAGTGGTCTGGGTGCCTAGAGTGGTCCTTTAACAGGATTGGGAGGTTCCTTCTTATCAGCTACTAAGGCATAAAGCAATGCCCCTTGACAGCAGCCTCCTGGGTGAGATAAGATAGAGATTGTGACGAGAGCAATCTCGCCACATTGCATTGGAGAAGCCTGGTTGCTCGCCTGTTGCCTTTGGATTATGGCCCCATGTTAAAAGGTTTGATTTTCCCCTGCAAAGACAAGAAAGCCGGGTCATTTGGTGCTTGCCCTGTTTGAGCAGTGATACCCCAGATAGCTATGCCATGGAGCCCATTCGTATAATGAAAGACTATGGGAAAGACTTTGGCTCCATGGCAATTGAACTGTATGTGTGTGCTCTGAGCGCCATTCAGTAATAATGTGCGCTCAGACCTAAGCTATCTGGGCATATGTTGCATGTCTGTATTTTATGTCATAAATGTAACCTTGTGTATTTTATTGTATTTTACTGTCTTTTTGCTGCCATGTGTTCAATGGAGTTTTGCCTCTGTCTTTGGAGATAATTGGATTACTTCTAATTATCTCCAGGATAGAAGACTCTGTGGAACTGGTTTTGGGCAGAAAAGCCATGCTTCCTGTGGTCACAAAGGACTACGATCTATCTTTTGAACCACTGGACCAATTTGTATGATTTTGACGTATGTTTGTATTTGGAGTATGCTGATTCTGAAAATGTGAATGTGATGCATACTTTTCAAGTTATGAATAATGTGGAAAAATTGTATTTCTCTGCTTGTGCTAATTAAATTACCCATTGTGTAAGTTAATTGTATCACAGGCAGAAGGGAGGATTTTGTGTGGGAGTGTCTGAATGTATTGTATGTGTTTATTGGTTGTGTTCCAAAACCCTGTGGGTGGTACTAATGTGTAAGAATGTGTACATAAGAACAATAAACCCACAGCTCTGTCTGTTCACTGCTTGACCCTCAACACAGAGCTTTGTCTCATTCTTGGGGGGATTTATTGTATGCTGTTCCAGTTTGACTGCTAGGAGTGTAAACCTATTCGTTTGGTATTTCCTATTCGGCTGTTTACAGCATTCGTATGGTTTCCGGTTCGGCGGATTGGTGTTCTGCAGTAGCTGTGCCTGTGTCTCTGGAAGGGGAAGATCTACTAAACGGCGGTTTAACCATTTTATGTCTGGGGGTGCCGTTACAATTGGTGGCAAGCGGCGGGATCGTTCCTACAGCCAGAAGGACAGCTACAGGAGACACCATTTCTTTGGATTTACAAGTGGGGGCAACGCATGTCCCAGTACAGCGACTCTAAAAGCAACAGAATGGAACCAGCAGTGTTATACGAGGAGGAGGACCTGGATCGCCGGGATGCATTAAGGAAAAGCATCTGGTACCAGGCCCTGGATAATGTACAATACCAGCGGGGTGAGAGTCTCCCCAGTGAAGAGCAGTGGTTGCAGAAGCAAGTGGCCCTGCGGATGCCCTTCCTGGGAGAGCAGCCCCTGGAGGAATGGGTGAAGGAATTGGAGCTCCGAGTATGGCAGGAGATTTGGCTGGAAGATGCCTACCAGGCGCTCTGGTGGTATGGGGCACCGTACCTGCCCTGAACAGCCGAGCATGACAAGCCAGAGGGAGAGGAGTTTGATGGTCCTGGCTTGTTATGGGAGGCTCTTGCAGAGCCTGAGTTTGGGAGCCCTACACAAGCCCGGTTCGGTGATCTCTTGGAGTGGAGGGAGAGCAGGTATGACTGGGACGACACTCACGAAATTGAGCAAGACCTGGCTCACCTAGCAACCCGGGAGTGGGAACTGGAGCAGGACTACCGAGATCTCTTCCACTCCATTGAGAAGATTCAGCAGGACAGCAAGGTGACAGATCCAGTTCCAGACCCATTCAGCTGGGAAGATATTGTTGAGATTTACTGGGAGGAATCCCAGGCGGCAGGTGGAGATGGGAGCGAGGTCTCTTCACCGGTATTGCAGGGAATTGGGAGCCAAAGCTCCATTCCCCAGCGGCAGGCTGAGTTACAGGGGGCAGAGACAAGTGGTCTTGTCCCCCAGCAGCAGTGTACCTTGCAGGGAGAGGAGAGCAGCGTCCTCCCTTCCCAGCGGCAAGGTGAGCTACAGGGATGCTGGGCGGTCGGCTCAGATCCCCAGCGGCAGTGTGATATACAGGGAATTGGGAGCCCAGTCTCCATTCCCCAGCGGCAGGCTGAGTTACAGGGGGCAGAGACAAGTGGTCCTGTCCCCCAGCAGCAGTGTACCTTGCAGGGAGAGGAGAGCAGCGTCCTCCCTCCCCAGTGGCAGGGTGAGCTACAAGGATGCTGGGCAGTCGGCTCAGATCCCCAGCGGCAGTGTGATATGCAGGGAATTGGGAGCCTAGTCTCCATTCCCCAGCGGGAGATATTGCAGGGAATTGGGAGCCCAGTCTCCATTCCCCAGCGGGAGATATTGCAGGGAATTGGGAGCCCAGTCTCCATTCCCCAGTGGCAGAGTGTCCTACCGGGAATAGAGAGCCCAGTCTCCTTTCCCCAGCAGCAGGACTCTGTATTGGGAGCAGAGACAGTCGGTCTCCCTCCCCCGCGGCTGGAAGTATGTATGGGAGAGGAGCTGGTTACCCCCTCTCCCCAGCGGCAGCTTAATGTACCAGGGGGAGACAGTAAGCCCCACAACTGTGCAGATGGGACCGTGGTCTCTGCACATACAGCACAGGGGGTAGGGACGGTCGGTCCTGCCCCCCAGCGACAGGGCTGTTTAGCCAAAGGGGAGACAGTCAGTCTCTCCCTTCAGCAGCAGGGCTGTGTGTCTAAAGGGGAGACAGTTCGACTGCTAGGAGTGTAAACCTATTCGTATGTTTTTTCCTATTCGGCTGTTTACAGCATTCGTATGGTTTCCGGTTCGGCGGATTGGTGTTCTGCAGGAGCTGTGCCTGTTTCTCTGGAAGGGGAAGATCTACTAAACGGCGGTTTAACCCTTTTATGTCTGGGGGTGCCGTTACAGAGCTCTCACAAAGACTCAGAACCATTTATAGCACAACCTTACAGTAGCATTTTATTTTATGTATTTTTCCCTCCAAATATACACTATTTAATTAATACGGTTACATGTATTTTTACGAATATCTATTTTTACATGTTTTACATATTCCAATTGCATTCAAGGTATATTCATAATATGTTAAATACGCTTCCTGTGTAACAACCAATAACACATGCAACCTGAAAAAGAACGAACCACAAAGTTACACAGAAATAAAACATTACAAGCATATAAAGAACAAAGCCAGGAATGATAAGCATTTAAACCGATAATTTGAAACAGTTTAAGTAATGACTTTTTTTATTTTTATGTACCGTATAAATGTAAATTGTTTCACTGCTTTATTACTTAATTGCAGTGAGACTTTTATGTACCTGAGTTAATGAAAAGATTTAATAAAAGTTAAAATATATATTCATCAATATAAAACATTCTATGAGAATTTTACAGGCAAGAATTTCATGTGAATTCGGGTAAGATAATTTATAACTGCGCTACAAAGAAAATGGTTCCTCGTAAAGCGCTACTTTCAGAAGTGCCACATCACGCCATCAGCCTCTCCATATAGAGCTGTTCAAGTCAAATTGAAATAGGATATTTAAAGGGACACTCCAAGCATCATAAACCTACAGGATCCCTGTTGCTAGGGCAGGCCCCTGACCATTACTAACATGCAGTGAAGTGTTTCTGAATCAGTGCACATTGCCATGTAATTACATCCAGTGGCTTGTGAATGGAACAGTCAGTATAATAATAACATATAAGCTGTCAAGTGTCATATAAACTTCTGTTGGGCAGGGTTTAGAGATTATGCTCAGCTACCTTTCAAACTAAAGATCGGCTGTTTCTCGTTTTGGGCTAGCTCCCAGCAGACCCTTCAAAATCATGGGAATTTGCAGCAAATGCAAGTACTTCAAAGGTAAATATCCCTTTTAGATTATTTTTATAGTGACATTGTCTATTTTGTATTTCTGCCACAATCTAATAGCAAATACAAGTTAGCTATGCATTACATTGTATGTCAGGCAGAGGTGGAGTATTTGATGAGAATTTGTTTTACCCCCTCCGACCCCAAAGAGTCATTGTGCATGAATATGTATGGTGCTACCAAATCAATTTACAACATGTTCCAAGCAGATTCTTACGTGCACATGAGAATGGGGCAATGACGTAGTCCCCACACACAGAATGGCTATGCAGGCAAGCTTTCATTAAATGTATTTAATCTCTTCATTACACAACATGTGTGTAGACTATTTTATTATTGTAAGTGAATTTATTATTTTTATTTATTTATTTTGCACTAGGTGTCCTTTTGGCCCAGTATCATTATAGCGCTGCTACACAGGCCAGATATTCCCACCGGCCCTTTGCTCTCTTGCAGTAGCAGGTCTGCACCTCTGATGGGTGCAGGTCACTGGCGATGCTCCCTCATGGTGAAAGACTAGCAAGGAGCAGACCAGCAGCTTAGCTCACTGATCAGATCATTGCCCTCCTCCCTGCCCAAAAGGAGGGGGACAGTTATAGGAATGTTGACAGAACCTTTGTTTCACAGTTTATTGGACTTTAACGAGAATGAAAGCAACATGAATCCTGTAAAACCACCCAGCAGGAATCATGCCACAAAATAAATAAATATTATTTCAGATAAAAAAAATAAAATAAAAAAAAAAAGATAGGAAGGAAGGAGGGCAAGTAGGGCAATTGCAAATGGCTTTAGAAAAGGTAAAAAAGATGCAGGATGACGGCAAGTCAGGCAATAAATAATAATAAAGCTCCAAGGACTGTCTGTGATAAACTTTAATACACACGGTTGCTATTTGGATGTGATGCAGCGTTTTGAAAAGGTGCTGAGAAGACAAAAAATATATATATATATAATAAAAACATGAATATTATCGGATTGAAGAGACGGGGTAAATATTTAAGAAAACAGGAACTCACCTAAACACAAATGTTCAAACAGTGGTATGATGGCAAAGTTCCTGGGCAAGAAAGGGAAAGAATATAGGCAGGGCAGACAGATATGGACGACAAACATTAACGTCTTCGAATTTCAACAATTCGTGTCAGCTGACGGAGGGCAAAACTCTGAAAGTAGCTCTGTCAACAGAAATGATCTAATCTGCTTCTATCCGGCAACCATCAACCGTTTGTCTGGGTCACTTTTTATGTTTGTGTGCTGTAGTTGTGACTATCTTATCGGGACTATCTTTCATTAGGCATAGCTTATTCTTACCTTCTGTGTCACTATCCCCCACTCCCTCTAGAATGTAAGCTCATTGAGCAGGGCCCTCAACACCCTCTGTTCCTGTGCGTCCAAATCGTCTGGTTACAAATACCTGTCTGTTGCTCCACCTGTTGTACAGCGCTGATGAATTTGTTGGCGCTTTATAAATAATAATAATAATCGCTGCGAAGTTAACAAAACTTGACAATGGGTGGGGCTTAAGTTAGGTTCCCGCTCTGCTGCCAATCAAAATTACCTAAAATCCATTAGTAAATTTAAGCCAACAGAAGAGCTAACACGAGACATGAAGGGCCGAGCAGAACAAAATGCATGCATTCATTTTAATGGTCTGGCACAAGGAGGAAAGGATAATAAATATAAAAAAGGCAAATGGAAAAGGGTTGTTTAATCATTAAAGGGACACTATAGTCACCAAAACAACTTTAACTCAATGAAGCAGTTTTGGTGTACAGATCATGCCTCTGAAGTTTCACTGATCAATTCTCTGCCATTTAGGAGTTAAATCACTCTTTTTATGCCTCTGTAGGCACACCTCCCTCCATGAGACATAGACAGCAATCCTAAACACTTCCTCGTTTAGGATTACACTTCCTTTATCGCAAATTCTGTTAAAATTTAAACTAGGGCTGCATAAACAGGAACAAAAGTGTTTTAACTCCTCAATGGCAGAGAATTCAACAGTGAAACTTCAGAGGCATGATCTGTACACAAAAACTGCTTCATTAAGCTAAATATGTTTTGGTGACTATAGTGTCCCTTTAAGATATAGTAGGCATAAGGAATGGAAAACCAAAAGTAAAAAAAAAAAATTATAATAATATGAGCGAGTCGCTTACAGTCTATTCCATGAGTGTAGGAAGCAGGGGAAATGGACTAATCTAGCCCCCCTAAAAAAATAATCTCGTGGTAGGGATGGTGGAGGTAAAATCACCCTCCAGTCACGATGGTTTAGCTTTTAGTTTTACTGTTTTATAAAAATGAGAAAAGCAAAATATATTTTAAAAGTATAGTTATATTCTCAGTGTAGCTTTTAAAACAATTCTATTTCAGAATGTAAACATTTCAGTGGAAACACCTTTATTGAATACATGTTTTGGGGTTTTTTTTGGTGAGAAATTGCATATTGATACATATTAAAATTTGAGGTAAGGAGTTTCATACCCCATTCTAATAATAGGCTCCACACTGATCGTGTACTTTGACCTCGTGAGTTCTCTATCTCCCCTCCCTTTGTGTTTGAATTGTAACTGTATTACACTATATTGGTTTTTGTCTCCTATTGACGATGGCTGAAATACAGGAAGGAGGGAGGTATGACATGAAATCAGAGGAGGGGCAGATAATCTGATCAAGGTAAAGATGATAACAGGTAATTTTAAAGCTTTTTTTTACATTATTTAGGGAAAAATGCATTTAGTGACACTAGACACTACTGTTGGGGGGATGCTGTTTTTACCTGTACAGTTCCTTTAATTCCATAATTTATTCAGTTGGACTTGTGTTTGGAGATACATTGTATAAATTCTATGGAAGGATCAGAATATCCAGTAATTTTATGCTGAGAGAAATTCATATAGGACCTGCAGCCTGTGTGAACCTAAAATCAGTGGATTTTAATCAAATAAAACAGCTCTGATCCACTTGTAGCAAATTAAACTAATCAATGAAACGCATTCAATTTACAATAATTCCTGTCTCAATGCTATGCCCTCATAGTGTGATAAAACATGTTTTAAATTAGTTACTGTTTCTATTATATGATAATAATAACCATGTCATTCTATCTATACCGTATTACTGTGAGAAGCAATTTCCAATTCTTTAACTCTTTATTAACACAGCCCATTTAGGTGCTATATAAAACAAGAGATGGAACGTGACAAAAAAGTGACAAACAGACATAATCAATAACTTTGGATTTGTTCAATTCATTCATTGCTGACTTATGGCTCAATACATGTATGTAGAACAAAAATATTACTTCACAAGAAATACCTTTTTAGATTCTCCTCATTTCCAATGTCACGGCTATGCATCACCATCTTATAACGACCCACGCTTAGTGGCGTTCGAGAGATACTCATTCCTGATAAACGAACCCTAATAAGAAGAAATCATTTAGTCTATGCCAAGCCTGGGCAGGGAGTAAAAAACAGGTGTGGGCATTTACTCCAAAAAGGAACCCAATGTTAACCAAGTGACCCTCCCTCCACCTCTAACCAGACTTGGCATCTTCTCATGTGTCAATGCCTGCACTAGCAAGGAATGCCACTGAGTTTGAATGTGTAGAGGTGTCTGTGTGGAAAGTCAGTGTGTGAATATGTAGGTATGTTGGTGTGGGGGTGCATTTGCTTGGCATGTCGGTGTGTAAATGTGGGGGTATATTTGCTTGGCATGTCGGTGTGTAAATGTGGGGATACATTTGCTTGGCATGTCGGTGTGTAAATGTGGGGGTACATTTGCTTGGCATGTCGGTGTGTAAATGTGGGGGTGCATTTGCTTGTCGCATTTGCTGGGCATGTCGGTGTGTAAATGTGGGGGTACATTTGCTTGGCATGTCGGTGTGTAAATGTGGGGGTACATTTGCTTGGCATGTCGGTGTGTAAATGTGGGGGTGCATTTGCTTGGCATGTCGGTGTGTAAATGTGGGGGTGCATTTGCTTGGCATGTCGGTGTGTAAATGTGGGGGTACATTTGTGTGGCATGTCGGTGTGTAAATGTGGGGTGCATTTGCTTGGCATGTCGGTGTGTAAATGTGGGGATACATTTGTGTGGCATGTCGGTGTGTAAATGTGGGGGTGCATTTGCTTGGCATGTCGGTGTGTAAATGTGGGGGTGCATTTGCTTGGCATGTCGGTGTGTAAATGTGGGGGTGCATTTGCTTGGCATGTCGGTGTGTAAATGTGGGGGTACATTTGCTTGGCATGTCGGTGTGTAAATGTGGGGGTACATTTGCTTGGCATATGTCGGTGTGTAAATGTGGGGGTGCATTTGCTGGGCATGTGGTGTGTAAATGTGGGGGCATTTGCTGGCATGTCGGTGTGTAAATGTTACATTTGCTTGGCATGTCGGTGTGTAAATGTGGGGGTACATTTGCATGGCATGTCGGTGTGTAAATGTGGGGATACATTTGTGTGGCATGTCGGTGTGTAAATGTGGGGGTGCATTTGCTTGGCATGTCGGTGTGTAAATGTGGGGGTACATTTGTGTGGCATGTCGGTGTGTAAATGTGGGGTGCATTTGCTTGGCATGTCGGTGTGTAAATGTGGGGATACATTTGTGTGGCATGTCGGTGTGTAAATGTGGGGGTGCATTTGCTTGGCATGTCGGTGTGTAAATGTGGGGATACATTTGCTTGGCATGTCGGTGTGTAAATGTGGGGGTGCACTTGCTTGGCATGTCGGTGTGTAAATGTGGGGGTACATTTGCTTAGCATGTCGGTGTGTAAATGTGGGGGTACATTTGCTTGGCATGTCGGTGTGTAAATGTGGGGATACATTTGTGTTTTTTTTTCCCATTTATTTATTATTTAAACTTAAAGGGACACTCCAGTCACTATAGCAGCTTCATCCCCCGAGCGCAGTCCTGCCTTAAGGGATTAAACTGTTCTCAAATGGCTTAACCCCAAATGTTGCCTCTAGGGCCAATCTCCAGGTCCCCCAGGAAGCACCCAGCCTCTAAATCTGATATACAGGAAGCACGTAGCAAAGCTGGGCAGGGCATCCTCTGATTGGCAAGAAAGGTCAGCTGACACTCTAAGCCAATCAGTAGCTCCTCATTGATAGAAAAGTAACATGCCTTTTCTTAATTAAAAAACAGCATAAACTGATGGTGGACAGTACACATATCAATAGAGCCAAAAAGGCCTCGGTCATGAACGCATATAATATTGAAAGAGCCTCAGTCATGAAGGAGTTCATTAATATATTAATAATAAAAAATAAAATAAACTAAAAGCCTAACAATTATACCTTAATTTAAGAATCTGATGTTATTGTGATTTACCTAATGGCGATATCGTCATCCTCTCCACCCCACCCCCAGTATGAATTTGGAAATCCATTAATCCGCATGTATTGATCAGGAGTTATTGCAGAAACACCACCAAAGTACGTCCAGTACGGTAAGCTGAGAAATAAAAAAAATAAAAATAAAAATTTTGGGGGTGTTTATCATACCAGCAATAATAATATAACAATAATATAATTATACTCAAAGAAAATCTGTATCCTTGATACCTAATCTTTGGAAACATTCACAGCCTTCCTAAACACTTCCTGTAAAGTGAGATCTAATATTTATACTTCCTTTATTACACAGTCTGTTTAATTAAGGACTTCTTATCTCCTGCATTCTCAATGAGAGAGAGAGAGAGAGAGAGAGAGAGAGAGAGAAAAACTTTTTTTTTTTAAATTTGACAATTTTTATCGTTTTGTGCGGGTAAGGGTACAGAAAAGAAGAGGGAGGGAGGGCAGGGGGGAAGGGTGAACAGATTTCATCAATGCATATTAACAACTCTCATACAGTTGGCAATGAATATTCAGGTAACGTATACCGCTCGTAATCAACGAGATAAAAACTTTTAAAGTAAGTTAAGATAGGATTGAAAATGACACTATTTTATTTCTCATGCAGACTATGTGAGTCGCAGAGTAGGGAGGTGTGGTTAGAGCCTCAAAAACAGAAACAAAGGTGATTTAACTCCTAAATGGCAGAGAATTAACATTGTAACATTGACCAAGCCTGCCTTGCTGCTAAACCAACACTGAGTAACACTCATAACAGCAAGCTGATACATTTTATTTTCAAGGTTTATTTAAGTTTTCAAAATATACATTGTATTACAGAAAATGGGCAAAGAATAAACGAGCAAGCATAAAAAAGGCAACAAAAAAAAAAAAGTATTTTGTGAATGCAAGAAGTCACAAACAGTTGCTGGGCACTGCACTAGATACAAAGCCATGCAGCCCCAACTAAACTACTATTGGACTGATTCACATTTAGCAGAACGTGGAACAGACCTGTCATCAGTCAACAATTGAAAGGTCAGAAATCGAAGTGACTGCAAACATATCTTTTTGGCACCATAACTACTGCAATATCATACGTTATGGATTTGAACTGGTTCTTTAAGTAAGGACTGAAGTAGAAAGTTGAAAAATTATTTTGATAATACATAGCACCGGGGTGACCTCTAGTGGTTGAAAATGGAATAGAACATTTTGTTGGAATTCCTTTGTCGGTTATAGTTTCAAACTACTTCATTAGCTTATTACAAGAGTTATATAGTTTTATGGTTAAAGTATTTACAAGGGTGGCGTGTGCAGCAGACACTAGTAAAAACACACCCTTAATGCAAAGCAATCATGGGATTGATTTAATTTGCATCTAGAAGAAGATGCAACAGAGGTAATTGTATTTCATATTTAGAAAACTTTCATGTTCATTGGGGTGAGAGGAAAGAGAAACTGCCCCTAAAAGAAAGATAATGCCTATTGAAAGGCAAGGACTAGTTTAAAAAATAAAAATAATAACAGAACATTTTAATGCACTTGAAGTGTACAGTAGTTTACATTAAAAAATTACATGTATTAGTTTTTCAAACATATTTTCCTTATTCTCTAACTTTGCAAATTTTCCACCCTCTTTTGCAAGTTCTGAAGCTAAGCAGATCCACCACAATTCGGCCCAGCAACAAACGGCCGAGAAGCACTCTTAGAACAGCACACAATAGGACACAATAAGTATTTTTGTAAGCTATAAAAATATTTTACTAAATATATGGATCTTTTACAAACAATTCTGCTGGAATAGGTTCCAAATGTACTTCTCCAAAAATATTTTTCTTAAAGGGAAGCTATAATTTCTTTATTTAAAGGGACTCTCCAGGCAGCTAATTGTAGTGGTCTGGGTGCTGTACTCCTATTGCACTTAGTGCTGCGATGTAAAACATAATGTTCACATTGCAGCTCTAAGTCTGTCCTCTGTGTCTAACAGACAGCCACTAGAGGGCTTCCGGAATCCATACCGACCTCCAGCGTCAGATTTTCCCCATAGGAAAGCATTAAATAATGCATTCCTATAGGGAGGTCTAATGCGCGCGCAGCCATTGCCGCACATGCGCATTAGGTCTCCTCCGCCAGCTGACATCGGCGGGGGGAGGGGGAGCGTGGGCAGAGCCTGACCCAGCAACATGGGATGGGGGGCACTGCAGCACCCTGCAGTGCCAGGAAAGCGGTTTGCTTTCCTGGCACTGGAGAATCCCTTTAATCTCACACTGGAGGCTGATGGCAGTGCTATTTACTGCCAAAAGAGAAGGAAAACAAATATTAAGCTGAGGTTGTTTTCGTGCTCAGAGTGACCATTTAAGTGTGAGCAGTTGAGAATGAATTAAATTATTATTTAGTGCATATAGTACAACAGAGGCATGAATAGACACTTCAGCATCAGTCAAACATGTATCAACAGGTAGAATCCTTAAAGGTGCCAAAACAAAACTGCACACATTTATTTTTTATATATATAAAACAAGGGTTTCACGCTAGGAGTCAACAATCAGGCACTAACCTAAGATAAGAACACAAGGAATAAACTACTATGACTTCCTAGGCTGAGTTTAAGCGGCATATGCAGGGTCGGAAACAGAAATTAAGATTGATAGCGATACATGCCAAAATTCAATCTAAGAGCATGCTCATTACAGGAATATATTTGAGAGTGGTAAAATTGTACGATTGACAACATGATATACAGGGAGTGAAGAATTATTAGGCAAGTTGTATTTTTGAGGATTAATTTTATTATTGAACAACAACCATGTTCTCAATGAACCCAAAAAACTCATTAATATCAAAGCTGAATATTTTTGGAAGTAGTTTTTAGTTTGTTTTTAGTTTTAGCTATGTTAGGGGGATATCTGTGTGTGCAGGTGACTATTACTGTGCATAATTATTAGGCAACTTAACAAAAAACAAATATATACCCATTTCAATTATTTATTATTACCAGTGAAACCAATATAACATCTCAACATTCACAAATATACATTTCTGACATTCAAAAACAAAACAAAAACAAATCAGTGACCAATATAGCCACCTTTCTTTGCAAGGACACTCAAAAGCCTGCCATCCATGGATTCTGTCAGTGTTTTGATCTGTTCACCATCAACATTGCGTGCAGCAGCAACCACAGCCTCCCAGACACTGTTCAGAGAGGTGTACTGTTTTCCCTCCTTGTAAATCTCACATTTGATGATGGACCACAGGTTCTCAATGGGGTTCAGATCAGGTGAACAAGGAGGCCATGTCATTAGATTTTCTTCTTTTATACCCTTTCTTGCCAGCCACGCTGTGGAGTACTTGGACGCGTGTGATGGAGCATTGTCCTGCATGAAAATCATGTTTTTCTTGAAGGATGCAGACTTCTTCCTGTACCACTGCTTGAAGAAGGTGTCTTCCAGGAACTGGCAGTAGGACTGGGAGTTGAGCTTGACTCCATCCTCAACCCGAAAAGGCCCCACAAGCTCATCTTTGATGATACCAGCCCAAACCAGTACTCCACCTCCACCTTGCTGGCGTCTGAGTCGGACTGGAGCTCTCTGCCCTTTACCAATCCAGCCACGGGCCCATCCATCTGGCCCATCAAGACTCACTCTCATTTCATCAGTCCATAAAACCTTAGAAAAATCAGTCTTGAGATATTTCTTGGCCCAGTCTTGACGTTTCAGCTTGTGTGTCTTGTTCAGTGGTGGTCATCTTTCAGCCTTTCTTACCTTGGCCATGTCTCTGAGTATTGCACACCTTGTGCTTTTGGGCACTCCAGTGATGTTGCAGCTCTGAAATATGGCCAAACTGGTGGCAAGTGGCATCGTGGCAGCTGCACGCTTGACTTTTCTCAGTTCATGGGCAGTTATTTTGCGCCTTGGTTTTTCCACACGCTTCTTGCGACCCTGTTGACTATTTTGAATGAAACGCTTGATTGTTCGATGATCACGCTTCAGAAGCTTTGCAATTTTAAGAGTGCTGCATCCCTCTGCAAGATATCTCACTATTTTTGACTTTTCTGAGCCTGTCAAGTCCTTCTTTTGACCCATTTTGCCAAAGGAAAGGAAGTTGCCTAATAATTATGCACACCTGATATAGGGTGTTGATGTCATTAGACCACACCCCTTCTCATTACAGAGATGCACATCACCTAATATGCTTAATTGGTAGTAGGCTTTCGAGCCTATACAGCTTGGAGTAAGACAACATGCATAAAGAGGATGATGAGGTCAAAATACTCATTTGCCTAATAATTCTGCACTCCCTGTATATGTAAGAGTAGGCCATACAAAATAAGTGCCATTATCCGATGGTGTGAGTTAGGTAAGATTAATAAAGATCACTCAAGAAGGGTAGACACCCCTAACCAAGGGGGCATCGGAGGGGGTATATGTTGTTGCTTAGATTCTTATGAGTTGCGAGACTGGAGCAGGACTGCGTGTCTCATCGTCCAAAAGAAATGCCTATGACAGATGACTGGGTAGCCCCTTTCCCTGCTTCCTAATCACTAACTTGCATTGATCCAACAGTAGTAATGTGAGGCAAGGTTTGGTAGTTGAAAGCAACAAGAAAATAACATTAGCATAAACAGTAAACATCTGCAAGTGCGACGCCTCCGGCCGCTCGAGTGAGATCTGGGGTTTTAAAATATTTGTTTGTGGTACTAATATTAGTAACTACAAAGTTAGATATTATGATCATATGAAGCAGAAAATCCTACAAAACACACACATTACTTACTTGTAGTGAAACTTGTCCATTGCACTAGCCAAATGTTTTGGTGAATATTCATCACAGACGTAGAGATTGTAATCGTTTTCTGGCACTAGATCCACGTCATGTAAGATAAGACAGTCCCAATTATCGAGTCGTAGGGCCTCTCTCACACCAATGTTTAAAAGTTTGGCTCGATTGAATGTGCCATTTCCAGCCTAGAAGTGCAAGATTGCTTAGTTAAATATACCTCATGCAAAATAAGCATCTTGTATATGCATTCTACAGCTGTTTGTATTCACTTGTACAACAAGACTCTAATTTTGAATTATGAAGCACTTTAATTTTTCCTTTGGGTTTCGGAGGATTAGCTGATCCTGCATTGGAAGCAGGCAGGTATCTTACAACACAAGTCTTACAGAGACACTACAGCAGGCATAGGCAACCTTTGGCACTCCAGATGTTTTGGACTACACCTCCCATGAAGCTTTTTCAGCATTATGGGTGTAAGAGCATTATGGGGGATGTAGTCCACAACATCTGGAGTGCCGAAGGTTGCCTACCCCTGCACTACAGGCATGAATACAACTTATATTGATTTTATGTCTGTGGGATCCTCCCACAGTATTCTGTATTGTAACCCCGCCTGCTCCGTCAGAGCTCCTCCACACCAAAATACTTCCTAAAGCTGCTATGTGAACTACTACATCTTCAAGAAAAAGTCCCAGATAAAAGCATTAGAGTGTTTTAACTTGCTGATTATGTCTTTGGTTGGACAGTGAAAACTTGCAGTTTATATAAAGCCTGTAGATGCAGCAACTTCACACTTAAATTTTATCCTTTATTATTTTGATTGCCTGTTTTGCTCTGCCTATTTTAATTGAATGCATTATTTATACAATTACAAAAAGACAAGTCCTGCGCCCATCACTGCTGGGCGGCAGAAACGACCACAGTACACATCAGCCCCAATACATACAGTAAAAACCAAAAGGTTACCTGCGCTCTCTCCTAAATCCCTATGTATATTTAAACAAATTGGCGTTATTTAGTTACTCCAATGGCCACTGGAGGGAATGCCCGCCTGCCAACGTCAAGGCAGACACCCTCAGGTGGGTCCTACACCGACATTTCACCTTGCTTCCTTGAGCTTCTGGCAAAAATATCTCTAATGAGACAGAGAGGGGTAGTTTTTTTTTTTTTTCAATTTGACAATTTTTATTGTTGATAAGAACAGGGGGGGGGGGTACAGAAGAGAAGAAGGAGGGCGGGGGGGTTTCCGTGTTACAGTATATGTCACTCGGTACAAGGCGACATAGCGTAGTAGCATAGTAGCTTGGTAAAACAGTAATGGTTTGGACAGTGGTATTAATAATATTGTTGTTAAGAAAAATAAGCCGCACAAAATTGCTTAGTGTAATTCTAGTCAATGCGCCCACACATGGGCTGGGGAGATCTGTGTAATTTGGAGTATACTTCCCCATGCGTAGCCTAATCCGATGCTCTTTCGCTTTGCGAACACAGTGGGTCAATACAATGCATACATGTTGCTATGGTACAGGAATGAGTCGCCTTACTCAGGGTTTGCCAATCTCCACGCGTCCCACACATCCCATGCTGTCGTCCCTGTACGGGTGGGTGGGCATATATTCGTGAAGCAACGCTCATAGAGCCTCTGCTCAGCTATTTCTGAGAGTACGTTTTGTATCTTAGGAGTGGTTGGAGATTTCCAGGCCCGCGCTATAAGGCGTTGAGCCGTTAGTGTTGTGTGGAAAATTAGTTTTTGGAGGTACTTAGGAGTGTGGGGGGGAGTGTGCAGTAGCAGGTACGTGAGCGGGTCTAGGGGCAGTGTAAGTTTCGTGAGGTCTTGTAGGAAGGAGTGCACTGCTTCCCAAAAGGGTTTTATCAGTGAGCACGTCCACCAGATGTGTAAAACTGATCCGGTGTGTTCCCGACATCTCCAGCAGGTGGATGAAGCGGCGGGGTACATTTTAGATAGCCGCTCCGGGACCATGTACCATCTGTAAATCATTTTTTTGTTCTGCTCCAGTAACGGTGCTGATTTAAGGAGGGTTTTGGGTGCGGTAGATAAAGTGTTCCACTCTTTGTGAGTGAGCTCAATGGTCAGATCTTCTGCCCATTGTCTAGCTGGCGTGGCCTCTGAGAGAGGTGTGAAGTCTAATAGCAATTGGTAACACGTGGAGATTGGCTTACATAGTGGGGGTAGTTTTTTATTTATACACATTTTTTCCCATGTTGTAAGTTGGTCGGTGGCGGTTTGGCTGGGCGGTACTTGTGTAGCTTGTTTGTGCAGGAAAGAATGAAGTTGTCTGTAGGAAAAATGAGATGTCAGGGGGACACCGTGGAGTGAGTGTAGGGTGTGAAAGTCTAGGAGCTTTGAGTTAGCGTGGAATTGGCCTAAGTGTTGGAGCCCCTTCTCCTGCCACGGTTTAGCGTAGAAGGTGGGAATGCAGTATGTGAGAGCCGGTGTCGGTGTGGCTGGGGACAGAGGGCCGCTGGAGGTCAGTTTATGTCTGTGTGCGTCCCAAACTCGTATGAGTAGGGCGAGTTGGGAAGGGATATCTTTTAGGGGGGGGCGAAGCTGTTGCGGGAGCCATAGTATGTGGGTGATGTCATACGGAGTCATCATGAGCTTCTCAAGCCTGACCCATTGCGGGGGGCTTTGGTCAACAAAATGGGGGATGGCTGCTGCTAATATGGATGCGTGGTAATAGGTACGCACGTCAGGGACTGCTAAGCCTCCTGCTCTAGCTGGAGCTCGTAGGAGCTTCATTGAGATGCGGGGTTTACCCTTGTTCCAGATGAAGTTGGTGATATCGCTCTGTATCGCTTTAAAATAGGATTGTGGCATTGGTAATGGGAGGTTCCTAAAAATGTATTGTAACCTGGGCAGTATGGACATCTTAATCGCCACTATTCTCTCAGTCCAAGTCAGGAAGAGGGATCCCCATTTTGTCAGGGATTGTTTACACTCTGTCCAGACCCTGATATAGTTGGTTGCGCTTAGGTCAGCGCGGCGTCTGGAGAACATAACACCTAGGTATTTGATGTTATCCCGCCTCCATTCGAAAGGGTATGTCATGCGTAGTGTTTCCGTCATTTGGGGGGGTAGGCCAATTCCCAGGGCTTGGGTTTTTGTGGTGTTCAGTGCGTAGTAGGAGCATAGGCCATATTCCTTGATGATGTGCATAATTACAGGGATCGTGGTCATGGGATCGGTGACATAAAGGAGGATATCATCCGCGAAGGCGCTAACTTTGTAATCTGTTCCCTTAATTTGGATCCCTTTGACGTCAGGATGGTTTCGAATCGTTTGCAGGAGGGGTTCTAACGCCAACACGTACAGCAGGGGGGATAGGGGGCACCCCTGCCTCGTTCCATTGGACAACTGAAACGGGTCAGACATAAAGCCTGCCTGTAGTACCTGGGCTGTCGGACCCGCATACAGAGCAAAAATTTGTGACTCAAACTGGGGGGGGAACCCATAGGCTCTCAAGGCTTGTTGCAGGAAGGGCCAGCTTAGGCGGTCAAAAGCTTTTTCGGCGTCAAGTGCTAGTAATAGACCGCCTCCTCTGGTCCCCCTGAGGTAATCCAGGATCAGCGACAGTTTCCTGGTATTATCTGTTCCCTGTCTTCCTTGTATGAACCCTGTCTGGTCATCCCCAATAAGGGATGGCAGGACCCTATTTAGTCTATTCGTTAGGATCTTCGCATAGATCTTTGCATCTGAGTTTAGAAGCGATATAGGGCGGTAATTTTTACAGGTGTCCGGGGGTTTGTCGGGTTTCGGGATGGTTACTATGGTAGCCCGGAGCATCTCTGGTGGGAGCGCGCCCGTGGCAGTCGCCCTACGGTACACTTTTAGCAGGTGGGGGCCCAGGACGTGCGCAAATTTTTTGTAGTAGGCGTTTGGGAGCCCATCTGCTCCTGGTGACTTCCCTTGTGGCAATTTGGCGATCGTTTCAAGCACCTCTGTGAGCTCAATGGGCCTGATTAGTGCTTCTGCCTGTACGCTCGTTAGTTGGGGGAGTTTGGCTTGGGATAAAAATTGGGTTATGTCGTCTAAGCTAGCATTGTGAGTGCTGCCCTCCTCCTTTAGGTTGTAAAGTTTAGAGTAGAAATGAGCGAATTCCTGGCTAATATCCATGGGGGTAACCTTCTTTAGTCCGTCGCCTCCCACCACGTGGGCTATCTTGGAGCTAGAGCATTGATTTCGTAGCCTGGCGGCTAAGTATTTAGTGGCTTTCCCACTATTGTGGTATACATTGGCTCTCAGTTTGTGGAGCATGCGCTTGGTTTTTTCTGTATTCAGCTCTTGCATTCGTGCGTAAAGCACTCTGAGCTGTTTCGCTAGGTCAGGGGTGGGCTTAGATTTATTCTGCCTAGAGATTATAGCTATTTGCCTAAGGCAATCAAGGAGGCCGGACGTATTCTGCTTCTTTAGGAAGGCGGCTCGTCTCAAGAAAAGCCCCCGTACTACTGCTTTATGCGCCGACCAAACCGTGTAGTCTGAGACCTCTCCTGTCGCGTTCAGCGCAAAGTATGCTTGGAGTTCTTCTCTTATGTGTTCCGCAAAGGGTGCATTGGACAACAGCGAATCATTTAGACGCCAGGACCCCCGGCCCCGAAATTGGAAAGTGTCTAGTAAGTTTAGATAGACGGGACCGTGGTCTGACCAGGATATTTCCCCTATGGTGCACTGCGTGAGTTGCGGCAGTAGTGTCCTGTGTAGGAGAAAGGTGTCTATGCGCGTGTATGTATTGTGGACTCTGGAGTGAAAAGTGTAATCCCTGTCTGTCGGGTGCATGGTCCTCCAGGCGTCGTATAAGTCGTATTGGTCAAGGAGTTTGGAGAGTGCTTTACATGATGTGTCCAGTCTCCGTTTGTTTGCGCCCGTGGGGGTTGCAGTAGTGTCTAGCCCTAGCGATTGTATGCAGTTAAAGTCTCCGCAGAGTATCAGGTCCCCTAACCTATAATCTTCGATTTTGCGCAGGAGGGAAGACAGAAAGTGGCGTGGTCGGTCGTTGGGCAGGTACGCTGCCACCAGCGTCAGTTGTGTATCGTTGAAACGACCCACCAGTATAACATATCTCCCCTCTGGGTCTATGTACTGTCGCTGTGGAGTGTAGGCTACATCTTTGTGGATAAAGATCGATACTCCCTTGGATTTTGTGGCAGAGAGAGAGTGCACTTGCATGGGGAATTGTCTAGTAAAGATAGCTGGGGGGTGGGTACGTTTGAAATGGGTCTCTTGTATGCAAGCTACGTCTATACCATTGGTTGTAAGGTCTTTAAGAAGGAGTCTGCGCTTGCCTGGGGAGTTCAAGCCATTCACATTATATGAGACTAGTTTCATACTTAATTATTTTGTGGGCAGGTACACTAGTGGTAGTAATTCCTATGCTTGCTACTGAAGCAGTGCTGGGCACAGTACGGTCGAATAGGCGTATTGGTGGAGGCTGCAATGTATAGTTTTCCTGGAGGGTGGGTTTCGAGGGGGACCTGTTGGTGGCCCCGAGTATGTCTGGGTGGGAGGGGATAAACAGGGGGGTAACTAGGGGGGGAGACAAACACGTGGGCAACCAGCCCTATCTTGCTTCCAGCTAGGAAGCCAAAATGCCCCGAGGAGAGCTCGGGCGCATGTGGTTGGGGTCGTGGGGGTGAGCGTCCTCTTTGAGGTGGTGGCTCACTGTGGTGGCGGCAAGGAGCGTTGCCATGCTAAAGATGAAGGGTGAGTAGTAGGCCTGAGGGGTTGTGCCTCCTTTAAAGCTTCGGGCAATGTGGGGGAGGAGGGTGAGCTCACAGTACTCCCCGAGTCTCATCTGCACCGGCAGGAGGTTCAATACATGGAACACATGAAAGGGTGCTACCCATGAACTGTGGGGGGGGGAGTGAGCGTCAGCACCCCCATGAAATCATAACCAAACATCTGAACAACATTCAAACCAAAATATGCATTATAATACACTGAGGGGAGGCGGGTGACCACTTAAGAGGTCAAAGATTTTACCGCAGTCCTTGGAGATGGCATTCCCCTCGTGTATCAGTTCACAGTCCACTCCGGGGAAAGTCTTGGGACCTTGGAAGGGAGATGTCGGTGTACCTCAGGCATTTGGAGGCCCCAGGATTGTAGCTTGGCGATTCCTAGTTCCAGTGTCGGAATGGCGTGTAGGGCATCTCTGTAGTGAATCAGGAGCTTGGCGGGGTAACCCCATCGGTAAGCGATGTTGTGGTCTCTCAGTGTGGTTGTCACTGGGGTTAGGTTCTTCCTGAATTGTAGCGTCGCTGCAGATAAGTCTGCAAAGAGTTTGATTCGGCTGTAGGGGTCTGGCAAGCCTGAGGCCCTGCTGGCTTTCATCAGCTGCTCTTTGGTATGGTAGAAGTGCACTCTGGCAATGACATCTCTCTCTGTGGTTGGAGGGAGGTGCTTTGGGCGTCTTAGCCTGTGTGCCCGATCCACTATAAGCTGATCCGGGTGTATTGTGGGAGTGAGGGCTTGGAACAGATTCGTCAGGTAGTTTTCTAATTCTTTTGGGGCAACTGTCTCTGGAATACCCCTTATACGTATATTGTTTCTCCTGGATCTGTCTTCTAGGTCTGCTAGTTTAAGTTGGTAGCTAGTGAGGGAGTTCTCAAAGCCCTGCACCCTGTCAGCTAGGCTATTATGGGCCTCTGCAAATTCATCCATCTTATGTTCTAAGTGGGAGGTGCATTGGCCTACCTCAGTGATATCCTTGTGGAGGTCTGCTGCCAAGGTTTGCAATTGGGTTTTCATGCTATTCTGCAGCTTGTCTGAGAGCTCTGCAAACATAAGCCGCATGGTGCCGACCGTGAGGGGTCCGTCGTCAGCCGCTGAGGATGGTGAGGCTGGCGGTGACACTGAGCCATCTCGTGAGTCTCGCGCGGCGCCATCTTTGATCAGGCCGCGTCCGTCCCGCGCTTTTGTTTCGGCGGTTCTCGCCAGAAAGAAGGACTCCCGGTCCGATTTGGCGGCCTTGCCCTTCTGCCTCTGTGACATGGTGGAGCGAGGAGTGAGGTTTAGTGCTCGTTAGTTCGTTTATTTTGCTCCAAAGTGCCGAAACCCGCGGGAGCTTCAGAAGTGTGCGTCCATTCAGCTCCGGTACCTGGCCACGCCCCCGAGGGGTAGTTTTTAAATACACCCCTATATACTTATTAATCCTTAATAGGGAACACATGTACTATGGTCGTTGCTGCCGCCCAGGAGTAATGGGAGTGAGCGCAGGACTTATCTTTTTGTATTTGTATTTACTTTTTGTATCACATAGCTTTGTTACAATGCTGCCACCCATCTCATGTGTTCCCTATTAAGGGTTAATAAGTGTTTGGGATGTATATAAAAAAACACCCATTTCTGTCTCATTAGAGATATCTTTGCCAGAGGCTCAAGGAAGCAGTGTAGGACCCACCTGAGGGGGTCTGCCTTGACGTTGGCAGGTGGGCATTCCCTCCAGTGGCCATTGGAGTAACTTAATAACGCCCATTTGTTTAAATATACATAGGGATTAAGGAGAGAGCGCAGGTAACTTTTTCATTATTTATACAATGCATAAAAAATTAAAAAAAAGATATTGGACCAATTTTAGACAAGTCCCTCTTAATAGGTTTGGGGAATCTAGTAAAATATCTGTATTTCAATTCATTTGAAATTCCTTCCCAGCATTACTATCTGCATAGACTTATCATATCCCATTATTGTGTCCTTTTAGTATGTATAATTTATTTGGCCAATTTAGTCCGAAGAGGAAACAAACAGTTTGAAGGGATACACCAAGTACCATAACCTCCACAGCCCGTTGTAGAAGCTATGGAGCTAGCAGGCTACTGGGGTCATCCTTTTGTTCTCTATCCAACAATCTGATTGGTTTAACACGAGAGTCCCACAGCCGTCTATGCCTAGGCCGCTCTTCTCCATATTGTTACTGCGGACATTAGAATTCCACATTAGTAAGCTTAGTTTGGTCTAAATTTGGAAGGCACGGAATGTCTGGACTATTCAAATGACATTTTCAATCATTACTAGAAATTATAATTTCTTTTTTTTTTAATATTCCCAGCTTCTATACTCTATAGTTTTTTTTTTATTTTTTATTTCTTTTAAACACAATTGCTTCTGCTCTTTTTCCATCGTAATGAGTTTTTTTTTCGTTTTAAAAATTAGGACCAACGACAGCCATTAGTTAGTCCGCCATAGTCTCTTTATTACAGCGGTTTGTTGCCATTTCGGAGGATAATTATGTCGCAGATTGTTGCTATCTTTTTGCGATCTGCTCTGGGAATGCACACACACACTGGGCTGGGAACACAGCATGCGCCTGCTCATAGCACAGTTCCTGCAAGTGGGATAAGAGAGAGAGCCTTCCCTATTGTGCGTGTGGCGTGCTCATGCAACACTCGCAACATGTTTAAAATTTACACTGAATTTGACATAAGGCAACTGGAACAATATGTCCTGGCTGGCTGATTGACAGCCCTGATATATTACAGGGAGTGCAGAATTATTAGGCAAGTTGTATTTTTGAGGATTAATTTTATTATTGAACAACAACCATGTTCTCAATGAACCCAAAAAACTCATTAATATCAAAGCTGAATATTTTTGGAAGTAGTTTTTAGTTTGTTTTTAGTTTTAGCTATGTTAGGGGGATATCTGTGTGTGCAGGTGACTATTACTGTGCATAATTATTAGGCAACTTAACAAAAAACAAATATATACCCATTTCAATTATTTATTATTACCAGTGAAACCAATATAACATCTCAACATTCACAAATATACATTTCTGACATTCAAAAACAAAACAAAAACAAATCAGTGACCAATATAGCCACCTTTCTTTTCAAGGACACTCAAAAGCCTGCCATCCATGGATTCTGTCAGTGTTTTGATCTGTTCACCATCAACATTGCGTGCAGCAGCAACCACAGCCTCCCAGACACTGTTCAGAGAGGTGTACTGTTTTCCCTCCTTGTAAATCTCACATTTGATGATGGACCACAGGTTCTCAATGGGGTTCAGATCAGGTGAACAAGGAGGCCATGTCATTAGATTTTCTTCTTTTATACCCTTTCTTGCCAGCCACGCTGTGGAGTACTTGGACGCGTGTGATGGAGCATTGTCCTGCATGAAAATCATGTTTCTTGAAGGATGCAGACTTCTTCCTGTACCACTGCTTGAAGAAGGTGTCTTCCAGGAACTGGCAGTAGGACTGGGAGTTGAGCTTGACTCCATCCTCAACCCGAAAAGGCCCCACAAGCTCATCTTTGATGATACCAGCCCAAACCAGTACTCCACCTCCACCTTGCTGGCGTCTGAGTCGGACTGGAGCTCTCTGCCCTTTACCAATCCAGCCACGGGCCCATCCATCTGGCCCATCAAGACTCACTCTCATTTCATCAGTCCATAAAACCTTAGAAAAATCAGTCTTGAGATATTTCTTGGCCCAGTCTTGACGTTTCAGCTTGTGTGTCTTGTTCAGTGGTGGTCGTCTTTCAGCCTTTCTTACCTTGGCCATGTCTCTGAGTATTGCACACCTTGTGCTTTTGGGCACTCCAGTGATGTTGCAGCTCTGAAATATGGCCAAACTGGTGGCAAGTGGCATCGTGGCAGCTGCACGCTTGACTTTTCTCAGTTCATGGGCAGTTATTTTGCGCCTTGGTTTTTCCACACGCTTCTTGCGACCCTGTTGACTATTTTGAATGAAACGCTTGATTGTTCGATGATCACGCTTCAGAAGCTTTGCAATTTTAAGAGTGCTGCATCCCTCTGCAAGATATCTCACTATTTTTTACTTTTCTGAGCCTGTCAAGTCCTTCTTTTGACCCATTTTGCCAAAGGAAAGGAAGTTGCCTAATAATTATGCACACCTGATATAGGGTGTTGATGTCATTAGACCACACCCCTTCTCATTACAGAGATGCACATCACCTAATATGCTTAATTGGTAGTAGGCTTTCGAGCCTATACAGCTTGGAGTAAGACAACATGCATAAAGAGGATGATGTGGTCAAAATACTAATTTGCCTAATAATTCTGCACTCCCTGTATATGCAGATTGCTCGTGGTGTGTTTGTTGTGTATTGTTCAGCAATTTGTATATGCACTCAATTGCATCAAAATACACAATATAAGAATGAGTTGTGACTTTCCATAAATATATAGCCATCCTCCAGCGACCGATTCGATAAACAAAAAAACAGGGAGTGACTTCCTTTGGATTGGCTCTCCTATGCTCAGATCATTCATCAATCAATAGATCGGATTCCTCCAACAGATTCTAGTTAGTAAACACCAACGTAGTGCAGAGTGACAACAGAGGTGCTGTGTCGACCGCAGGCTTTAAAGGGACATTAAAGCCTTGTATCAATGAGCTTCACATTGGTGGAACATTAAAGGCTGTGTTTGTAGCAAGAGGTTTGCTTACGGTCACCTTGTGAAAATAATCCTGTGTATGCTTAGGCTATAGTTCCTCTCATTACTTGTGTCAGTTAGTATGAGTATTTCATAAATATTCTATATTTACAAAACACACGGTAGGATGTGGCAGCTGCGTTAAGCTAGAAATTCTCAGACTTGCGAGGCTCAAACTAGGTTTATGTATGGCAGTCTGCCTGCCTTTGCTTTGAACAATCTCTAATACTGTCAACAAACGAGCGTAGGGTATGTCCTTGAGACCCAGCAAGGTATTGCAAAATGCTAAATAATAACACTCAACATCTTTATGTTGATTTAAATTGCACTGATACAGAATGCAATGTATCTTTATAAATTGTACGGAATGCAATGTATCCTTGTATTTTGTGGGTAAGATGAAATATACACTTTCCTCTTCTAAAATAATTACTGCTGTAATCAGTAGGCTGTTTGTCCAAGAATAGACTTGTAATTAATTTACACAATGATGCGATGATGTTGACTGGAAGTTTACTGCAAAGTGCCTGCCATGTTCCAGGAGGTAAATTGCCAACGCCATCATTTTGCAAAAAAAATTAAAAAATAATAATTCAAAGAAAAAACGGGAAACATCATTAAAACTCTTCTAATCACATTTTAATTAAGGGGTATTTTCAGATCCTCGGTGCATTCCTTATCCAGTCTGGTTTTGTTTCCAATTCCTGATAAGACCATCTTAAGGTTCTGGTTCAATTAGTCATTTTCCAGCTGGGCCACAAGTTACCTCAAATGGCACAACGTACGAACGAGCTTGGCCGTTGTCAGGGGTATTCTTTGTATGTCTAAAGATATACACCAGAAATGCAAAAATATCCCTGCACATTTCAATAAAAGTATATTTGGAGAGACTGAAGGCATACAAGTTTGTTATGTCCACTGCAAAATTTCAGCTGATAACGTGATATTGATTTGTGATAGTGTATATCCTTATCAGAGCTCTGCATGCATTTATCATGATACGTGTCAGTCAGATTCTTGGTAAAAACATACAAACATAATTCCCCCCTCCCCCCCCCCAAAAAAAAATGTCAACAAGCAATACGCTGCCATTTATATACTCGTCTATTTTATCAGTGAAGAATCCGGTGAACGGGAATTTATACAATAACAAACGCAAGCAATAGTTAACTAGAGACAACTATTTAACTCCTTAAGGACCAAACTTCTGGAATAAAAGGGAATCATGACATGTCAGACGTCAGGTGTCCTTAAGGGGTTAAACCTCTCCAACGGCGGTGGACTACAACTTTCCCGATTCTAAGTCATTTTGTGTTCATTTTTATAACATATCTTTCCAATTTCGCTTCAATTAAAAAGAAGCAAAACGGTGTCTGCTGATACACAGTTTTCTTGGAACCGAGTTAGTGTCTGTCTATCTAAACAGTCGAGTCTCTCACTCTGGGAAATGCTGAGAGATTGACAGGGTCCAGAGTAGCCAAAGAATGTAGACACTGCGCATGTATACAATAAAATGTATATTACAAATATATGTAAGTTTCCTAAACAAAATACATTCAATTTTAATATGCCTTCTTTAAAAAAAAGTTATAACATTTTTTTTTTCCATGTGGCGCCCCTTCTCTAGAAATGGGTTTTAATTAGAATGTTGTAGAGACGAAAACAGTAGGATCACCAACAACAAAATGTTAAATGTATTTCTTTTTGGTAAACAGTTCTAACTTGTAAAAAAAATTAAATAAAAATGATTTTGTAATTTTTGACATAGACTACAGAATCTGTATGTATGTAGCCATCATATGTTTCAGCAAAATCCTATCACGCACATCTACCTCACTGTGTGATTGATTGATCCCAGAGTCAGTCATCCACTTGTACGCATCAGTACAGTAGGTACCCAGACTCTGCAAAATCCCTGGTGGCCAGCAGAGAGTTTCACTGGAAAATTGGCAAACTGGGTTTGGGATGTGGGGGGATTTGGACAATATTCTATGTTATACCACCCATTTGGAAGGCATCTGTAAATTACGTAAAACATGACATGAAAATCTACAGCGAGGGTGACACACGACTGCTGGTGATGCTAAAATACCCTTTTTGTGCTCTATAAATAATAAATCACGTAATTGAATAGTTTGTGTAATTAATGTAAGTCAGTTGTAAATAACTAAAAATAAATAAAACCCTCTAACTCCAAAAAAACAACAACTTTGAACAAATACAAAGCGTTTTATAGTTAAACAGTAGAGATAGTTAACTCTGACAGACAAAATAAATGTTGCTATAGACACAAGAGGTGAAGAGGGTTCTGCTCCAACTAGGAATATAGCTACTGTGCTTTATAGTAATGGCAGGTTGTTACCGCTATACAAGTCAAACCTGGAGCAGGGCACAATAAGACCAGGGAAGATTAGGAACAAGTAAATAATGCACTATAACGTGTTTATATTAATGTTCCATTTTATTATGAACTATTTATTTAATAATTTCTCAAAATTTGAGCAACATATCTGCACATCAGTTGTAGTCGAATTTTCGACACAACTTTCAAATACTTCCTCTGCAACGAGACGTGTTCTTTCTTTTATCAGGCTGGGCACAGCTGATCCCACAATCTAATCAAGATTAAAATGTGAGAACACAAAACGTTGGTACAAGTACAAAAGGAAGTCTGGAAAGCGCCATAAGCCGTACCCTTTGGAACGCACATTCTACATTCATTTGACCACTTAAGACACCCAGAGCGCTTCATCTCAATGAAGTGGTCTGGGTGCATTGGTCCTGTAGTAAAACCCTGTAGTGTAAAAATGAGCTGTTTTGTAAATTTGACAATGCTTACATTACAGGGACTAAAAGCACACTCACAAAGATTGAGCCATATAATAACCTGGCTCCAGTGTGTATCTCCTTAGGAACCTTTTGGGAGATCCAAACCCCACTTCAGGTAGGAAGATGCTCCAGCTGGTGCCCTCCCAAATGATGTAGTAGCAAGTCCAGGTAAAGAATAACAAATGTATTGATATGCAACAAAATAAAATAAAATAAAGGATATAAAAGCGCAAATAGTAGTCTAAGAATCACCAAAATGCGTTTCGCCAGGTTGGACACACCAACTGAAGAAGCCACATCCGGCGAAACGCGTTTTGGTGATTCTTGGACTAATATTTACTTATTTTATATCCTTTATTTTATTTTGTTACATATCAATAAATTTGTTATTCTTTACCTGGACTTGCTACTACATCATTTGAGAGGAAACCAGCTGAATCATTTACCAACCTGAATTGGGGTCTTCCAAAAGGATCCTAAGGAGATACACACTAGAGCCAGGTTATTGTATGGCTCTATCTTTGTGAATGTGCTTTTATACAAAATTTGATATTATATATGATATAAGGTTTAACCTGCGCTACGGTGTACCCCTCTGTTTACATTTCAGTAAATACTGAAATGTACATTTATAGTGTCTTTCTAACTTAACTTTTACAGAGCAAACGGAACAGATAGTCCAGAAATAACGATTCAACACTGGAACAAGCCACGGAGAACATAAAGGGCTGGCAATGCCAAAGACAGAAATAGGCTAAAGGTGGGCACACGTGGACCTGGACCACCACACGAGAGCCAAACATAAACAATGACTAAGGCCTGAGCTAAAGGCCCAAGACAGAAAGACATCAAAAAATCAAAGACAAAACAAAACGACAATTAACCATCCACACATGTTGTGATGCAGCACTGTATCACACAAGGATTAACCTAAGCAAGGAAGCAGGTCAGGTCCCATACTTGCCAGCAGTGAAGGTACAATTACAGCTGGAAGTTCGATTTAAAACCTTACGACTGTCTGTTTCCCTTTAAAGAAACAGGTCACTGGGTAGTGGTACAAACAAATGGAAGAAGCAAACTGCCACATGATGGCGCTCAAGCTTCTATCCTAAATTAAATAAAAAGTAGAGTTCAAAAATAACGCACAATAATATAAAAAATGAAAAAAAGTGGAAAAAAACCCAGCAGCTCTAAAACACAGGTGCTTAACTTAGAAATGAAAAAGTGCATACATGCAATGTTTATCTTACCCCTTATCCAATATGTTGTGGGTCTTGATATTATTTCACATAAAAAATAAAATACAGAACAAATCTGGCGCGGAACATGCTGACAGCAATCACACTCCTATGACTCTCAGTAAGCCAGCCTAGTGCATTACAGCAGATTATTTACTGTCCCACAGGGAGGGTGATGTGAGCTCGTAACATGACGCCTTATTGGCTGGCAGCATACAGTTACTGGGAGAGGCGAGTAAGTTATCGATAAGATCTGTAAAGACGAATATCGATAAGCAGAATTGTTAAGAATATCGGCTCTAATACTCGGCAGAACCGATAATTGCACTATCCCCAATAATGATAAGGGAATCAATTAACATGAAAAACTATGGAAAACAATCCCAAAACAATGAAACCTTTTAGTAAATATATAAATAAATGATGATATATGTAAATGGTTACTTGAGATATCCATTAGTATCAGCCTACTGGGTCACTGAGCAGAGATTTAAACTGTCTTGCATTATTGATTATTATTAGTAATAAAGAACCAACATGGTAGCGCCACACAATTTGTCAAGAAGACAAACTGCATCAATAAGTGTAAATGATATTTATACAAATTGAATTGTATAAACAGCTTTAGCTGCTCCAGCCCCGTTCCCACATTCTGCAGCTGATATAAATGCACCTGATTCTACAAGAAAAGGAAGATCACATGTATTATAAACATCTTGTGTCGAACCACTTAATGTGGTATGTGAAAAGGAGAACAATGGTTACCGTCTATTCATTATTGCGTAACAAACTGGTTTATTTCTTAGAACTATGATAGTAGATAGATAAGTACTACCCTATTTGCAACTACTTCTTGTGAAAAGCAGGTCCCGACGTACACGGCATATAACAAATATGTACTACCTTATCTAAAGGGACACTATAAGCACTATTTTGTTCCATAGCAGTCTCCTTCTTCCATATGTTCCAAATTATAATCAGTCCGGGGTGAGAATGTTTTTATGTTCAATGTATTTTGGACACTTTGTTCCTCCGTAATGTATATAAAAAAAAGGGGGACGTCAGCTCTAGATGAGATTGTCACTTTAAACACGGAATAACTAACATTACATATGCCATTGTATTTAGCCATTTAAAACCCGAAACTTCTGTCCGACTCCCCCTACCCCCCTCAAAAAAAAGCTAACTCCGCACATCATTCAGAAAACTGGGGACACTTACAAACACATTATGATTCAATACATTCAAGGCACAAGTGCATGAACAGATAAAAGTAAATATAAAACCTACAGATTAATAAAGTATATTAATTAGTTGGTTACTGCACATTTTTAAATTTAAATGTTCTACTTTTGTATGCGCTTGTTTGTTTAAGCACATTCGTAGCTTGTGAAAGGGTAGAGTACCAAGAGTAATACCACTTATTCGAAGTTTGTTTTGTTTGGCCACTGTACTGTTTATGAGTTGGTGACATTTGATTATATATTCAGTCTAATAAACCCAATTAAAATATTTTGTCCCAAGTTACCAGCATCTTTCAACCATAATATGTGAATAAGATGTAAACAGAATTTCCTCCCTCAAGTGTTGTTACTCCTGTGTCTGTCTCCCTCCAAGTCAACGGTGCTACCATCAACTCCACCATGCAGGCCTGCTGCCTAGGTGTTCTCTTTGACTCTGACCTCTCCTTCACGCCTCATGTTCAGTCTATCGCCAAATCCTGTCGTTTCCATCTCAAAAACATTGCTCCCAACTTGCACCATTACAGTCCATAATGAATGCGGCGGCGAGGCTCATCTTCCTGTCCGCCCGCAGCTCCCATGCCTCACCCTTCTGTCAGTCCCTACATTGGCTTCCTGTAAGATATTGGGTTCAATTTAAAATTCTGGTTCTTGCTTTCAAATCGCTACATAATGCTGCTCCGACCTATCTATCCTCCCTAATACACAAGTAGGCCCTAGGCCCTTATGATCTGCTGAAGACTTACGTCTATCCTCTGTTTGTACTCCCACCTCTGATGCTCGCCTTCAAGATTTCTTGAGGACTGCACCGTTCCTGTGGAACTCGCTTCCCTCCTCCGTTAGATGCTCACCCAGTCTCCAAAATCGTTAAAAACACACTTCCTCATAAAAGCGCATCAATTAAACTGTTAATAGCTCCCGACTGATTCCTCTCTTGCAACTGTCACTAGTCTAATACTATCCTTACCTTTTTGTGTCACTTTATCCCACTCCCTCTAGCATGTAAGCTCATTGAGCAGGGCCCTCAATCCCTGTGTTCCTGCGTGTCCAACTTGTCTGGTTACAACTACATATCTGTTCGTTCACCCATTGTAAAGCGCTGCGGAATTTGCTGGCGCTATATAAATAATAACATAATAATAATAAACAATAAAAAATTAGCTATATGCAAAGCATCATGGAACACCATAAGATTTAAATAATTTGCCAGCTTGTGCCTTGATAGGCGTTCAAATGATGTCAATAAAAACTTTTTACAAATGAAGCAGCACAATTAGGAAAAAAATAATCAGGGATAAGAGTCTCGCTTTAAAATAATCCTTTTAAAGTTATATTTTGAAACAAAGATCAGGGATATATGACTAGTGAGCAATTTAAGAGTTTTAATGCTAAAATAAAATAAATCACAGTTTCCTCTCTAATATTTTTTATTTGACTGCATATGCGCACATGCACTTGTAAGATTGAGGCACGAGGATAAAGTTATAATTTTACACTCACACAAGCAACGCAAACAATATTTTTTTCAGAAAATGTAGAGGACAGAAGAATGGGGGACTGTTTTAGACCGTAGCTAAATTGATTCTCCAACTTAATCCTCCAATTAGACTGTTCTGAAATGTGGTTACTTGCAAGACAGGTTTCGTAAAAGCTGGAGAAACGTACCTGATGCACCACGAAGATTGCATAGTGTAGTTGCTGTCGCTGCAGGAAAGGATGCAGATAGTATAGCAAGTATCGGAGATGTACCTCTCGGTTTCGATGCGGGATGATAACTGCGGTTCTGTAGCGCCCGAAACAGTGTCTTGGACTAAAGTATCCCCCATGAGTCACATAGGGATTCTTCATTTGAATCTTTTTTAAACTTGGGGGTTTGCTGTAGACAATTGTTAAAGGGCCAACTAAAAAAAAAAAAACATAGAAAAATAAAAGTCAAAATACAGAAAATTGGGGAAAATAAAATTAAGGACTTCCTGAGAATCATGATATATATATATATAAATACATATTTATACACACACACACACAAGCAAACAATCGGGTTCCCCAAGCTATTATGGTATATCACAAAATTTGCATAAAATACAAATACAATCAGGCCACTTGTAAAATTAACAAGGCAGAGTTTGGTTTTGTTTATAGTTTTATTTCAAGGTAATAAATTCCACTAACGAATTAGCTCTTGAATTCTTAGGATAGTGATATGCAGGTAATAGTTCATTACTACGAGATATGTAAACTGATTTAATGAAATCATATAACCAATCCATCATTTTATATTACCCCTCCATCCTGAGACTACGTATACATATTACCCATATAAGAGAAATATTATTCATATAAAAGATGTATAAATCATTAATACTTTAATAATATGGAACGTACCAGATTGCAATTCTTCCTGACCTTATTGCTTATTTTTGTAAGTCGGAATTTAGGCATAGAAATACAAGCGACTTATGTCTTGAGACTACGAGCAATCTTTGACAGCAGTCCAAAATAATTGCGGATTCTGTATAATGTGATGTAATGCGACATGATCAGATACCTATATAATCTGAAGCGTTATACCAATAAACGCAGAATTTAGTCAATTCTCCAGGCCTGTAGGTGTGATGTGCTGATTGGAATTCCTAAAGTACGGACTGCAGTCGTTAGGATCCCCGGAGGAAAGAAAAATAGCCCTAACAAAAACCAATCAAATAAATTGCATTCTATCTTCTGTCTGATGGTTTTCTTGCTGTTTGACTGCATGACTATTGTGATCATAAAATAATATAAACTATGAATACAGTGCCTAATAGCATTGTTCAATGACTGTACCTTGCACATTAGAAGTATGTAGACAATTCCTCCACTTTTTTACCTCTCTTAACCTGTTTTATTCTTCATTCCTTTTCAATTTAAATTATGTCTCTCTTGCCACACCTTTTTGTATTTGTCTGTATTATATTTTATTGATCGACTAAAGAGAATGGAAATTCACATGGGAGGCGGCTCATTGAGAGCGAGGGCGGCCGGCTTGTGAAGCATGAAGTGCTGATAGAGGGAGGCAGCTGAGTGCGGAGGCTGCGAGGGAGCGCTATTCTTCCTGCTCTGCTCCCGTGCGCCTCGCAGTGATGCCGGAATATGACGTCATTCTGGTCCTGGCTAACTAAACAGTGAGCAAGGGCTTAGCAAGGAGACGTTCAGTGCCGCCCCACTGGACCCCCAGTATCCACTCCAGCTCTCCCTAAAGGTAGGGGGGCTGGGTGGGCAAATTTATATCAAATAAATTATAACTTGTGTATGTGAAAAAGTGCTTGTGAGTGTTGCAGTATCAGTGTGTGTGCCTGTTAGTAAGAGTGTATATGTGTGTCTGTATGTGAGAGTATGTATGTCTGATTGTGTGTCTGTCTGTCAGTGAGAGTGTGCGTGTCTGTCAGTGAGAGTGTGCATTGACTGTCAGTGAGAGTGTGCGTGTCTGTCAGTGAGAGTGTGCGTGTCTGTCAGTGAGAGTGTGCATTGACTGTCAGTGAGAGAGTGCGTGTCTGTCAGTGAGAGGGCGTGTCTGTCTGTCTGTCAGTGAGTGTGTGTGCCAGTGAATGTGTGTTTAGGTGATCTGCTTACCTCCAAATCACATGGCTGGGTCCACCTCCATGGCTGAGTGCATTAGAGGGACACTATAGTCACCTGAACAACTTTAGCTTAATTAAGCAGTTTTGGTGTATAGAACATGCCCCTGCAGCCTCACTGCTCAATCCTCTGCCATTTAGGAGTTAAATCCCTTTGTTTATGAACCCTAGTCACACCTCCCTGCATGTGACTTGCACAGCCTTCCATAAACACTTCCTGTAAAGAGAGCCCTATTTAGGCTTTCTTTATTGCAAGTTCTGTTTAATTAAGATTTTCTTATCCCCTGCTATGTTAATAGCTTGCTAGACCCTGCAAGAGCCTCCTGTATGCGATTAAAGTTCAATTTAGAGATTGAGATACAATTATTTAAGGTAAATTACATCTGCTTGAAAGTGAAACCAGTTTTTTTTTTTACATGCAGGCTCTGTCAATCATAGCCAGGGGAGGTGTGACTACGGCTGCATAAACAGAAACAAAGTGATTTAACTCCTAAATGACAGTGAATTGAGCAGTGAAATTGCAGTGGAATGATCTGTACACTAAAACTGCTTTATTTAGCTAAAGTAATTTAGGTAACTATAGTGTTCCTTTAATACTGAAGACCTCAGTCAATCCAATGCTTCCCCCTTATAGGAAAGCATTGGGAGACTATTGTGCATGCGCGGGAAAATGCCACTCTGCGCCAATCAACATCTCTTCGTAGACAATCAATGAATCCCTATGGAGAGCATTCAGTGCCTCCTTGCAAAGCATGAATACACAATGTAGGTGCTACACATTGTTCAGTACCTACCGAGAAAGTGCCGCTAGAGGCCGTCAGGGTTACTGCCACTAGAGATATTAATAGGCAGCTATGTAAATATTGTCTTTTGTCTGAAAAGACAGTGTTTACTTTGACAATCGTGCACGGATAGGCTATAGACTTAAGAACAACTACATTACGCTGTAGCGGTTATGGTGACTATAGTATCCACTTAAGAATTGTATTTTTGACGTTGAAAAACCTGGCTCCTAACTTTTTTAGCTGGCTCCTAGATTCCAAGCAAATTTCTCAAGCACTGCTATAAAGATCGCAGGCGTCCAAAAGCCTCCGGTTTGTGCAGGCTGGGAGAAATTGTCGCTGTTAATGCGGACATGTGAATTGCGTATTGGCAGTGTATACAAAACGTACTTGTATGCCAGCGCCACGCCGCCAGCAGGAGACCTACAGCTGACAAAGCATCAAGCGAACTGTAGTTCTACAAACACTATAAAATATCTTTTGGTTTCAACAGATCCAAAGCAAACGTAGAAAACCTTGTCGCACAGATTGCCTATACTTGGTCCAGACCAATCACGAAAGAGTTAATATAACGCTTAAATTCCATACCTCTAAGGGATATTGTTCCTTTTCACAAACACCGAAATGTTTAATGAGATTTAATTTAATCTACTCTTTGTGGACCATCTAAAACGGAAATCTCTCCCACTTCTACATCGTAATTGAGGAACATTGTTCTCAGTTATGATCAAAGTAATTGGCTGTGGGAACTGGTCTCCCAGATTAGATTGTTGGCCTATATTCCATGTGAAAATAAACTTATATCCATCAATGTAATGTCTTAGCTCAAGCAGACTGACTAAACTGTCTTCTACTGAGGAGCACAACATTGTCTTTATACACATATTAGTCCCTTATACACAGCAATCTGTGACTGTGGCACACAAAGAATTAAATAAGAACTACTTTTAACTTTAATTTATTTTTTATGGCTGGCTCTGTAATTTTCACGTTTTATATGTAAATAGCCACACCGCATTCGCTACGACGGAAGTTTGCACTATACACACTTTGACTTCATGCATAAATGTTGCTTGATGACTATCTTGTTTTGTGGAAAACAAATAAACAGAGATTTACAAAAAAAAAAAAACAATTACATAAAGTGTAAATTGAAAGAGAATTAGAAAATACTTTCATATTATAATTATTCTGTCTAACTACGGGTAACTATCTTCTAAGACATGCATTTGTTGTAGACTGCAAGTACAATGGGGAGATTCTGTATGTAAACAGTAAATACTTGGCACATACATTTATACAATTAACAATTTCAAATATCTTGACTGCGGCACCACCAGTTGCACTTTTGTTTACTTCCCACCAAATCACACACATTTAAACATACAAACAGAAAAATAATGTTATATGTACTAAGAGATATCCAAATGATAACTTGGGATGACTCAAGACAAGGTGCTACAGTAGTTAAAGAAAATTAATATAAATAAAGCTTGAGGGCCTGACGGTATTCACCCACGAGTAATTAAGGAGATAAGTGTGGAAATAAGTGAACCTCTCTATTTAAATCAAGATTCTTTTTTTTCAGGAATTGTACCGGAGGATTGGAGGAAGGCAGATGTGGTTCCTTTATTTAAAAAGGGTTCAAAATCTTTGCCTGGAATTTATAGACCTGTAAACTTAACCTTTGTGACTGAGAAAGTATTTGAAGGTTTATTAAGGGACAATATTCAGGAATTCATTGGGAAGAACTTTGTTATTACCAATAATCAGCATGGTTTTATGAAACATAGGTCAAGTCAAACTAACCTAATTGCATTCCATAAAGAAGTAAGTAAAAGTATAGATCAGGGTGTTTGCTGAAGCATTTGATACGGCAATTGAAATTGGTCTAGATGAATATTCTTGTTCTTGGGTAGAACATTGGCTTTAGGATAGAGTACAACAAGTTGTTATAATTGGTAAATTTTCAATTTGGACAAAAGTGGTAAGTGGTGTCCCTCAGGGTTCTGTTTTGGTACCACTTTTATTTAACATATCATAAATGATCTTGAAATAGGCATTGAAATCCACGTTTTAGTGTTTGCAGATGACACAAAACTCTGCAAAATTAATAAAATGTGAGCAGCATATTGCTTTGCTGCAGAGGGATTTAGATAGATTGGGGGACTGGGCGCTAAAATGGCAGATGGAATTTAATGTAGAGAAATGCAAAGTTATGCACTTCGGGGTAAAGAATGCACAAGCAACTAACACCTTAAATGGTAGTAAATTAGGGACAACGAGACACGAGAAGGATTTGGGAACGGTTATTGACAACAAATTAGGCAGCAATATGCAATGTCAATCTGCAGTTGCTAAAGCCAGTAAGATTTTGTCATGTATAAATAGGGGCATAAATTCTCGGGATGAAAATATAATTTTCCCTCTTCATAAATCGCTGGTAAGACCACACCTTGAATATGCTGTGCAATTTTGGGCACCTGTTCTAAAGAAGGATATCATGGCACTAGAGAAAGTGCAGAGACGAGCTAGAAAATTAATAGAAGGAATGGAGCATTCTATTTATGAAGAAATGTTAAAAAATGTAAATCTCTTTAGTTTGGAAAAACAGCACATCAGAGGGAACGTTATACAAATATATTGGGGGCCAATAGAAACCATTGTCTGAAAATCTTTTAATAAACAGGGCTATACATAGGACATAAGGTCACTCATTCAGGCTTGAATTTTTGTAAAAAAAAAAAAAGTTTAAATGTGGATCAACGTTTCAGTCCCGTTTGGAACTTTCATCAGGGTGAAATGCGCACTTTGCACAGCGGGATGCCAGTCGTGTTACACTATGCACCTAGGTTAAGTCAATTATTTTTATTATTTTGTTACAAATATGCCTGTTTTCTTGTCTTAACTTACCCTTGACCCTGATGAAAGTCCCAAACGGGGACTGAGGCATTAATTCACGTTTAAAAAAAAAAAAAAACTTAAATAAAGCATGACATTTTAACACATTATTGATATTTTTATATTTATTGGTCCTGGCTTACAGCAGCCGGCACTAGTTTTGGATAAATGGCCCGAGTGCAGGAATTTATTGGAATATATATATATGTATATGTAATCTGAAAGTGATTTTTTTTTGTGTTCCTTTAAAAGATTGTGTCACAGATATTTCAAGTTGGTGTCCCTTTAAATTTTAGCTCTCCAAAATAAATAAATAACAACTATTTGGCAACCAGGTTTTAAACAGGTAAAAGGGCAAACAATCCAAAGTACACATTCCGACTACGCTTTCCACGGCCGTTACTGACAAAAATGACAAATACAACAGTAAAAAGAGCTCCGCAGTGCACTCGTCCACTGTCTCAAACCTCAATTCATGGATTGCCTTTCCAATATTGCCTTAAAAACATGTTTTGATTTGTTACTGGTCAATCATCTTCACAGTGACCTATTCGATATGCTAAATTAAGTCATACGGATGGAGGGTTGTGTCATATCTGACCTTTATTTGGACAGTGTATACAGCGGTAAGAAATTCCTGGACACAGCTATGCAGAATAACGTGTGTCACAGGGTATCTATATGTGTCTCAGCCTGCGTGTCTCATAGGCCATTTGTTAAAGTCAGTGAGTCATACCTATCTGAGAAGGACAGGCCCAATCCACAGGGTTTAAACTTTGGCAACAAGCGCAGGGACCATGCCACTGTAAATAAAAAACAAAAAAAAACCATACTATTTAAAAGGGATACTCTAAAGCACCAAAACAACTTTAGCTTAATGAAGCAGTTTTGGTGTGTAGATCATACCCATGCTGTCTCACTGCTCAATTCTCTGCCACTTTGGAGCTAAATCACTTTTGTTTCTGTTTATGCAGCCCTAGCCACACTGCATGGCTGGCTGTGACTCTCACCGCATGCATGTAAAACAAGTTTTTTTACATTCTGTAATATTATAATTAATTTTATTGTCATTACGGTCCCTGAGGAAGTTCCTAAGAAAACGAAACGCGTAGGACCAACCTTTTTTTTTCTATTTTATCCTATGCTGATGGTGATTATTCACCTTTTATATTAATAATTGATTTTCTATCCTCACCCGTTCGAAGTCCTCTGTACCATTGGTTACAACGAAAAGGGGACCACTAGCCCCCCACTACAACGGGGGAGGCACCTTATGAGCGCTTTATTCTACGCAATCTCGTGAGTGCATTCATGTATAGCGCATGATTGATTGCGCTAACTGTACTTCACTATATATATTTTTTTATGTTCCTTTTACAGATTTGTTCAGCCGTATCCGAAATGTTTGTTTTGGTTTTCAAGTTTAATTTTCAATCAGATGTGACAACACAGTGTGTTTACGTTAGAAATTTTTATCTTCTGCACTGTTACTTGAACTTTAACACACAGAGGAGGCTGTAGCAGTCTCGAGCAGGCAATTAACAGATCAGGAGATACATTCTAAATTTAAATGACACTGTAGGCAACCAGACCACTTTAGCTAATTGAAGCAGTCGGGGTGCTGTGACCCTTTTGCACTTAGTGCTGCAATGTAAAACACTGCAGTTCCAGGGAACTGCAATGTCTACATTGTAGCTCGAAGTCTGCCCTCAGAGGGTTTCCGGAATCCAAATGGACCTCCAGCATCAGATTTTTACAATGCTTTCCTACGGGGAGGTCTAACGCGAGTGCGACCATGAAGAGTATGGGCGGAGCCTGACCCAGCGTTGAGAGACATCGGCGCTGGATTCAGGTAAGTGGCTGACTGTGTTTTAACCCCTTTAGCCCGGCGGGAGGGGGGCGCTCTAGAAGCTAGTGCCAGAAAAATGGGTTTGTTTTCCTAGCACTATAGGATCCCTTTAGCAGACTGTGCAATAAAGGAAGTTTAAACATTTTATTTCTTAGGTAGGTTGTATAAGTGATTTACCTCCTAAATCGCGAAGAAACGAGTGTTGAGACTGATCTACACACCAAAACCACTTAATTAAACTAAAGTTGCTTTGTTCCTTTAACAAACCGACGGCGGTCCAATACTCCCTGATGGTGTCAACACACTGACATCACTAACAGCAAATTGTAGACAGAGCAGAATGACATCAGTCGATTCGCTTCTTTATTAACAGGGAAGAGTGAGAAGAGTTTTCACATACAGCAGAGGAATGGGTTCTTTAGAGTACGAATAAAGATGTGGAATCTTCTGCCTGAAGAGGTTGCCATTATGGCGTCAGGAAGGATTTTGTCCCTTTTTGTGGCATAATTGGAAATAAGTACAATTGGGTTTGTTTGTCTTCTTTTGGGTCAAAAGTATTAACGAATGGCTTTCAAGGTTGAAGTTGATGGATTTTAGTCTTTTTTTTTTTAACCCAAAGTAATATGCAACGATGTAATGTGCGTACCATAACACAATTTAATCAATCACTCTCCTCTAGTAATTCTATTACAGAGTAATGATTTTGTTATGAAATATTGCACAAACAAAATTTAATCCCTCTGCCGCTGCCCATGTCCTTCCCTCAGCACGCCCTCACTCCCATCACCTCCGGCGAGTGACGTCAGCTATGGAAGATTAAAGGACCACTATTGGCACCCAGACCACTTCAGCTTAATGAAGTGGTCTGGGTGCCAGGTCCCTCTAGGATTAACCCTTTTTTTAATAAACATAGCAGTTTCAGAGCATTATGAATGCTTTCCTATGAGACTGGCTGAATGCGCGCGCAGCTCCTGCCGCACATGCAGATTCAGCCGAGGAGGAGGTGAGAAGGCGGAGAGGAGTAGGAGAGCTCCCCGCCTGGTGCTGGAAAAAAGGTCAGATTTAACCCTTTCCTCGCCATCCAGCCCGGCGGGAGGGGGGCCCTGAGGGTGGGGGCACCCTCAGGGCACTATAGTGCCAGGAAAATGAGTATGTTTTCCTGGCACTATAGTGGTTCTTTAAGCTGCAGGGAGAAAAGTGTTGGATCGAGGTGAGTTTTAACGTTATCTATTTATTTTATAAAAACATTTGTTTTGGTTGGAGTAACTCTCTAATCAAGCCCGTTCACCATATTAGCTCTATTACACAGATGCAGTTCCCAAGTTTACATCAATTTTGTTACTGCGGCTTCTTTTTCACTACCACTCGGAGGTTATTCCGTGAATCTACTACTGAGATTCTGCAAAATATCTTTTTTACTATAATCTAATCCTAAATAAAAACATGATGTGGAGGATACAGCAGTAAACTGACTGATGTCATTTTGTTTTACATATTTGTGGCAAGCATAAATCACATCTTTAATTGAACTATAAAGTACAACACACATTTAGTAACTTATTTTATTCCTAGTCCAAATTCTTACTGATCAATAATGCTTGAAAATGATCAATAATCCTCAGGACCATTAAGTGTCTACTTTAGTAAATAGTTTCACAATAGGGTATATGTTTCCTAACACCGTTTTATATTCAATAGATGGCACGTTATTTGCAGTGTATCCAACTTTATGTGTCACATCTCCCTATATTGTGAAGGCACAATAGCACTCCTGCAACATTACCCAAAGTCTTGCCTCACTTAAAGGGACACTAAAGTCACCATTACAACTGCAGCTTATTGTATTTGTTCTGGTGAGTAGAATCATTCCCTTCAGGCTTTTTGCAGAAAACACTGTCTTATCAGAGCAAATGCAGGGGTTACATTACAGCCTGGTGATCACTCCACTGGCCACTCCTCAGATGGCTGCTAGAGGTGATTCCTGTGGCCATCTGCATGGAGACACTGAACTTTCCTCATAGAGATGAATTGATTCAATGTATCTCTATGAGGAGGTGCTGATTAGCCAGGGCTGTGTTTGACTTGTGCTGGCTCTGCCCCTGATCTGCCTCTTTGACAGTCTCAGACAATCCTATAGGGAAGCATTGTGAATCACTTCTAATGATGTCAGCCAAGCAGTCAGATCAGGGGCAGAGCCAGCAGCAGACTGCAATAAAAGTAAGATTTTGCTATATTTAGGAGTGCAAGGGGGCCCAGATGGTGGTTTTAACACTATAGGGTCAAGAATACATGTTTGCTTTTCTGACCCTATAGTGCTCCTTCAAGTTTTAGAATTTTGGAAAGAGTCATAGACTTGATAGGCAGATTCCAGAAACGCCAGGAAAAAGATAATGGGACCAGGCAGTAATGACATCAAATAAACTGATATCATAAAATGTAGCTCCATATAAATGAAAGAAAATACAGATTTCTCAGTTTTGGTCACAAATGTTAACAATATCTCTGTGCTGAGTGTAATAAGGTGTGTACACAATAAATACCAAACATAACTGCCAGTAGCGGACATCACTCCTGCTTTTATTTTGTTCCACTACTTACATTGCCTTAATTTACAATTTACAGTGCTCATGAAGGGGTAGAGGTTAGGTGGAACATTTACTTAAAGGGACTCTAAAGACATCAGAACCACTACAAACTTGTTTTCCTTGCACTATAGCTTCCCCATGCGTCAATTTCCATGGTTCTGGTGTGTATATCCTGCCCCTGCAGAATTTTCAATGTAAACACTGCCTTTTCAGAGAAATGGGTTTACATTGGTGCCTAGTGGCAGTCACTCAGATGGCCACTGGAGGTGCTTTCTAGTTCAGTGCTGCACACTGTACTCTGCATTGAGGTGCTGAACATTCCCCATAGAGATACATTGATTTAATGTAACTATGAGGAGATGCTGATTGGTGCAGCGTGGCGTTTTGCCATGCATGCGCAGTAGAATGCTAATGTTCTCCCATGGGAAAGCATTGGATTGGCTGAGATCATCAAGATGATAATCTCTGCCATAAAGGTGCGACCAACCACACGTGGCCTGGGAAAACAGGTGAGCAAAATCACCTTCTTACTGCACAGACAGGGGTGCTATAGTGTTCCTTTAACAAATTGCGAGGACCAGTAAAAAGCATACAAGTGCTGCTGGCTACAAAAAGGAAAAGGAGGCAAAAATAAGATAAAATTACAAAGTTTGAATCAAGGAGAAAGTTATATCATAAATATATTGGCCTTCCTATTCCTATTTTTTTTTTAAAGTTTTGTATATTTCTATCCATGTTAGTTTTCATTTAAGGGACATTCCAAGCACCAAAACTACGGTTTTGGAGACTAAGGTTTTAAAATCCATTCTATTTAACTGCCATGTCGTTTTCAATCATTTTGACAAATCCAGCAATTTCCAGCATCCAAGTGCACCCCCTGACCTTGGAACATCATTCTAGGGAAATCATCCAAGGTCGTGAATGGAGTGAGTATGTACAGCGTGCTCACACTGAATGTATTGCATAAGGTGAGAGATTCCTCATGCTAGGGCAGGCTTCCCCAAACTCCAGCCCTCCAGATGTTGCTGAACTACAACTCCCATAATTCTATGAAAGAAACAGATAGGCTGAGAATCATTGGAGCTGTAGTCCAGTAACATCTGGAGGGCCTGAGTTTGGGGAAGCCTGTGCTAGGGTATAGCATAAAGAATGTGTGGAAAATGGAAGCAAGGTCTGAGTACAGAGTGTGTTCGTGACATCCAAGGATTTGGATTACAGGATGGGCTTTGAATACCTTGCATAACAAATTAAAAACAGCTCGACAAAACACTAAAGGACTACAAAAATAGTCCATTGGTTTAGCAAGATTTATATTTAAAGCAGCATCAGTTATAAAAGCCTCCCAACTGCCTAGATTGTGGCAGGACAGTCCCTATTTCAGATTATTGCCTTGCCGTCTCAGGTTGGTTCCCTGGTGTCCTGAATCCGCAGCCACCACTATGTAAATGCATCAATAGAAACACTGGCACTGAGGGCACTAGGACCATGCAGAGACCACTGCTCGGTATGTATTGATTTGCGCAGTAGTAATTAAAGTTAAACTTTGTACACCTCGCTTATGTAAAAACAATGTGCCCTTAGAAACATCACAGTACTTGAGATAAAAAAAAAATACAAATACTTTACACAACATACAGAAAACGACTTACTCTAGACACCATACTACATTGTGCAGATTAAAAGAATATATTTTAAAATGAGATTAAGAAGCAGTTCAAGCACCTGGCTGCACATGTTTCCTCGGTTCTAGGTGATACTTTTTTTATAGTGGTTTGACCAAAACCAGAGGTTGTTGTGTCTTAGGTGTGAATAGAGAGACTGACGAGGGACTCAGACCGCGAGGGAGCAGAGACTGACAAGGGTGGGGGCCCATCGGAACATTGTGGGACTCGGGAGGCCACTTATGTCAGGGGCCCGGTAACCTGCACTGAACCAGATCACTTCCTCTCACCTTGCTGAGTTAAGTTAAATGCTATGATTAAAACAATGTTTATTGTGACTTATGGCTGTGTATCGGTGTGTATGTGTACTTGTGTATGTATGTAACCGAGCGTGTGTGTGGATATTTGTATATGTTTGTGCTATATAAATAACAATAATAATATTAATAATTAGTGAGGAGGAAGAATGGAGCAGAGCTTAATAACATTATGGGAGGCAGCACACCTGAAAAGGGGGATTCCCCCTCAAAGACCCTTTGATACACAATCACTGACTGGTGACCAATTCCAATTACGATTCGTATAGTGAGGCCTGGAATTTGTCACCAGTCAGAGATTGTGTTTTAAGCAGCCTGCCTTCAGTGTCACAGCGAAGAGGTAATGGATACAGTGCTGGGAGACACAGGGAGAGAGAGCTAGTCAGTGAGGATCTCACCAAGATTATACCACCAACGCTGCAAAAACTGAGCAGTCATCTGCTCAAACAAATGTGAGTACAATTTATATATATTTACTCCTGGTTCTGCTTTTACACAGAGAGCACTATTGTTGTTTTATATTTACATCTTGTTGCTGTGATACCTGCCGATTACATGTCCTATTAATATCCTAAAAGTGGGGATTTATACTACTGTACATTCATCATATTACATCTGGTTTTAGCTCTACTCAATGTGAGTATATTGGAATGTTTATATAACCGTGCACTACGCTTTTAAGACTTGTTACACTATTGGAGTTTTTTTTACTGTTTTCCTTTTTTTATATATATTTCTACGTACTCTGAGCATCTTTGTGACTAGACAGTATCACAAAGAAAATACTCTCCCACAAGGTTTTTAGGAAACCATACCCTGATCCCACAAAATATCTGCTACAAGGACAATAATTTTGGGACTGCTGCCATTTTCCTGTGGGTACTTATTTTATTTGTCTTATTTCTTTTTCTTATTGTAATACGTTTTAATGTAAATTCTCCTGTTTTATGATCTTATCTCCCAAATTTTGGCTCTCACATTTTGTTTCTGATGCTGTTTTTTGTTTTGTTTTTTCTAATATTAATAATTGTATAGCTTCATACATACCAAGTATTGGAGATTTTACAGGGCAATACTGAGTCTTCACGGCCTCTGGATCCGGAGTAAAGAAGCTGAGGTTGGTGTACACATCGTGTGACTTCGAGTAGTCCCATATCATGGACGAACCCCCAAATATTCCATGCAGCAGGCTTGCGGCACCCCTCCGGTACAACAGCAACATAAATAGTACTTGGGAGCAAAACAAAAGTAGCAAAAAATGGGGCTTATCAATTCGTGCTAGGTAAATAGTGTGCATGGTGGGCCAATGATGATTAAACACTTATTCCAGACAAATAAAGTTTGTTGCGTAACTTCATGTGTTCAAGAAATCGATCCTTAGGATTTTATTTTTTCGAGGCCGCAATCTGGACGAAGACAGAGTCATCCTCTTCTTTTGGGCTCGAAGCTGCTACAAACAAAAAAAAAATGTAAAATCAGACGGAGTACAATGAAAAAAAAAACAAAAAAAAAAACAGCATTCGCGATATGGCTTTATGTGTAGTTACTGCAAACACCACACACTTAGGCAAGTTATTCACTAGACCAGAAAATCTGAGCATTGAAAAAGAATTACAAATTGTAGACAAAATTAGCAGGACTGGGGGAAATGAAATAGCAAATTAAGCAATTTTTCACACCCTGCAGGAACTAGACACAGATTTTAAAGGTTACTCCAAGCACCATGACCACGTTGGTGATTTGAAGTGGTCATGGTGCATGGAATCTGCACGATGCACAGATTAACCCCTCTGTAACACCACCTCTGGCAGCGTCACTGGGCATCATTAGCCAGCCCAAAGGAAGATGGTTAAAATCAATTCGGTGCAAAACTGGCATCTGGCTCCAGTTCTGTGCTGCCCAGTGCTGCCCATGTCCCCCTATCTGACTTACTTCCCCCTCCAGCAAGGGAGAGAAACATGAGCAGAGGATGAGCAGGCTTCTGGGACAACTTGGCCTCAGAGCTAAAACACCAGTAAGTTTCATCTTTTTATTAATTTTTTTTATTGGGGGTTGGGAGGAAGAAAGACAATGCTTGTAAGGGTTACTCCAACCAACAACGGTATTTTCTTAAAAACTGGCTTTTGGTTGGGGTAACTCTTTAATACCGAATATAAATACATTTGGGTTCTGAATTCAGAGAAACTATGCAAGGGTGAAATATTCACCATTGTGCTTATTGTATTGGTCAAGGTGGATATGGGCGTAGTTTGACAAAACCCAGGGGATTCCCCAAAATTCAACCCTCCCTCCAAGCACTGACAGAATTGTCAAGTGCAGCCCTTTGCGTACCACTTAACTGTTATTAAAACCAAGAAAATCACCTATAACTGGGGTTACCATATCCACCATGTTTTCAGGGACACATTTCATGTATACATATTGATGGGTAGCACATGAAAAGGGTTCCCCTGTAGTATGTAGAATTCAGAAGTAGGTGTATAAGATTAAGTAATTGGACAACGAAGAATCCTGCAGAATATGCATTATACATAAAGCAGGGCATGCGTTTTCATAAATAAGGCAACATTATAGGTTTCCCTGAAAACATGGTGGATGTGGTAACCCTACCTATAATTTGTATTAAAGTGAAGCTTCACACGTTCACGTTAACTGAACTCCCAACCCACACACTGTGAATATGTTATAATTAATTTTACATTTTAAATAGGAAAAAAAGCGCTACTAAAAGTACTTTATTGCCAGTGCATCAACATTTTGAACAGAGTGATATCAGTGACTCCATTCCTACACTCCTCTAGCCGTTGCTGGCTAGTGGAATAACCACTTTGCATGCACTGTAGTTCATGCCTCCCAACCATCCTGATTCTGCTTGGACAGTCCTGATTTTCAGGTGAGGTTCTGCCATCCCACCCAAAAGCAGGACACCAGGGAACTGTCCCCAACAATCATACCAAGAGGGCATCATTTGAAAGGGCAATAGGACACTGCGGTAACTGGTGGCACTATGCACCCTGTTATTCCCCTCCCACCGGCGTCCCAAATCGGATACTGCCGATGTTGGGAGGTATGGTAGCCGTTGAGAACAATTTAATATTATTGGCATTCATTTAGCGCTAACATATTCAGTAGAGCTTTACAATATTATTGAGTGGACTTTGACAACAAATGAGACAAACTATGACAAATGCTGACACTAACAATAGATTGATAAGTACCCAGCTCAAACAAGCTTCCGGCCCCGAGGAAATTTACTGCCTAGCTTGGCAGCTGACATATAAAATAGACATTTAAATACAAAATGACCAGTACAATGTATTGGTTAAATTTTTATTCTCTATAAACATGTAATCCCTACAGTTCAACAACATGCTCCAAAATGGATTTCACTACGCCTTTGTTCATAATCAGGAAATGTCACACCGTTGATTTTTTAACAATTCAAAAGCTACTTATATTTAACTTTGGGGGTGTGAAGGGACACTTCAACTGATTGATGTGGTCTGGATGCAGTGTCCCTGTTCCATTAACCCTGCAATGGAAAACATTACAGTTTTAGAGAAACTGCAGTGTAGACATTGCAGGGTTAAGACATGCGCTGCATGTGGACATCCAGTGTCAAGCAAAACCCCATAAGAAAGCAGTGAGTCTAGTCTTTCCTATAGGGAAGGCCTAATACAAGCGGTGCTCAGAGAACCCAGCACCGCCATTCGGCACTGGAAACAGGTAAGAAAAAAATAGGGGTGTTTTAACTCTTTCATTGACGAGTAGGGGCCCTGGGGGCAGTGGGACAATTTAATGTTCGGAATATATCGCTTTGTAGCACTAACACTAAAGTGTTCCTTTAACCCTTTTTATTTTTTCAAATGGAAACTGTTGCTAATTATATCTAAGCGCACGTCGATAGCCAGCTAAAAGTTAGCTATGGGCTGCGCTATTCATTTTGTAAAAATTCACTAGTCTTTTAATTATTACTTTTTTTCTTTTTTTAAATGTAAATGGCACATAAATGAAATTAACCCCTGCCATACTGCACTAACCCTTACAGCACTAGTGAAGGAATGTCTGAGAGAACATGCAATCGTACGGCATTTCTCTATAAATATATAACCATGAAAGTGTCACTGATTCTATTGTTTGTATCCAGTATAATCACAATAGAGCAGTGCTCCCAATTGGTGTTACGCGGAACCCTAGGATTCCCCGAGAACCAAATTGGAGTTCCGCCGTGAACTGCCACATTCAAGATGGCCGTCGCTTCCTGCTGTTACTGGAAGGTCGGAAACAGCAGCGATCACGTGACCGCGGTCTTATTAAGAGATCGCAAGACTGCCGTTATGCATGCCTGCTGTCAGCCCGCCCCTCCGTCACCCATTTCAGTAAAAGAGAGTGGAGGCATTCAGGCAGACGCTCCGCTCACAGGAGAGAGGATTTCTTTTTACACTCTTTTTTTTTTTGTCAGTGCAGTGTTATTCATACGAGCTGGTTTAAACATAACAGTAAGAATATGAGTGACAGAGAAAATTAGTAGTAGATGTCAGAAAAAATGCCCTTTATTTTCTATAAAAAAAAAAAGTAAATCAGGCATATATAACACGCAAAATAATATGGCATGGAAAGTGAAAGGGTATATTTTACTGCCTTTATAGATAACTGACCTTTAGAGTACTGCCCATTGTGGCATATGGGGATAAGTTTATTTATTTAAATTTTTTTGTAGAGACTGTGCTAAAGGTTTGCAGCTAAAAACAAGCTAGTGGGTTGGGGTTCTCATATTTTTTGTTGGTTAAACTTATTTACATGTACTTTTTTCTCCTTACTATCTGTAGAAATCAGTAAATGTAGGTTAATTCTAAGAGCTGTTAAAACAGCACACTTTGCAGTCAGGTAGTGAAATCTGTACTAGAGTGTTTTTACACTCCAAGACGGACTCAAAATCCTGCTTATGCTTTATAAACCATCCTTTTCAGTCAGGTAGGGAGATCTGTTTGAAAGTGTGCTAATCTTTTTGCTCCAAGACTGACTAAAAATCCTGCTTACATTAAGTTCTTTGTAAGAGCTTTATAAGAAACGGAATCCATTGCAGTCCGGTAGCAAAATCAGATTTTTAAGGTTAGAGAAGTGTTTTGTTTATTTTACCAACAACCATGAATTTGGACATCTGGTTAAAACAAGGAACTTTGAAGAGAAAAATGATTACGGTACTACTTCTAACTGTTCGTCACTTATAGAAACTGAGAAAAAAAGATATAACAAGAAAACAAGAAAATAAATCCCTACTGTTCCTCAAATAGCAGAGACAAGTGACAAGTCAAAATTAAAAAGAAAAGCACACAATGCTGGCCAATCTTCTTCTCAAACAAAGAAAATAAATACTACTTATCATTTGGATTCACAAGTGCCAGAAATAAAAAATTTCCACAATGCGTACTTTGCAAGAAAATATTGCCAAACAGTTCGTTAGCACCTGCTAAATTACGTCGTCATTTTGAGCAAAACCACGCGGAGTACGAAGATAAAGACAATGACTTTTTTAAGCAAAAACTTCAGGAGTATCATAAGACTAAACAGTTTATCAGCAAAATATTTTAAAATGATTATAAAAAAATTTTAAAAAGCCACTTATTACAAGGTTTGTGCTACAGCGGGTTCCACTATGTTGGTATACTGTGTCAAAGGGTTCCACGGGAAAAATTTATTTGGAACCCCTGTCATAGAGAGACAACAAAGGAAAAAAATATATATTTTAGCGTGAGGGATTGAATTGAGATTAGTTTGCATGGCTGGCTAATTAACTTACTTAAGCAAACAAACCTATCACACTTGGACTGCTTGTTACCGTTAGCATTCCATTAGGGTGGGGAGCCAAGCATTCTCCATAGTAACATGGACAACAGCCAACAACCCAACAATTCTAAGGTTGCTACAAACACAGCATGTTTAATCACATGCTAAAAGGCCAATAATCAAAAACCACACAGCTGGAAAGCATGGCAAAAAAGGTCAAAGTGAGTTCTACCATAACAATAACTAAGGTGAGGTTACCACCAGTTCTCTGCAACTACCAAGGGCCGAGATTATTATATTGATTAAAACCTCGGCAGTGTTTTGGTGGAAAAACACTGCCCTTTCATGTCCAGTCCATTCTGTACAGGGTGGGTCAGAAATTCAGAGCAGGGTTTGAATATACCGTAACTTTATAATTAATGAAACTAATTTAATGAGATTGCATACAGTAAATGCTTCGCGCATGGCGACTAGATACAGAAGATGACATCTTTTAAATGAGCTCGCAAAGTCGGGCACTTTCGATTGCACTGTCCATAAAATGAGTTAATGTTAGAGGCTCTAGCGCTCAATTTTTTGCACAAAAAAACCCCCCCAAAAAAACAGACAGACACAGTATGTACAAATAATGCCACCATCTTGTCAGACTCCAGCACAGATTCCTGGAGAGTAAAACAACATTTAATTAATTTACAGAGATATACTGTGTTTTTAAATTGCACTAGTTGTAAAATGTACTTTTATGACACGAGTTGCCTGAATTACACCAGACCAGCTGCCGTCAAGCTGGAGAAACGAGAATTCTCTGCAAGCCGTGCCCTCTCAGCAGAGCGGCCCAACTTCATATAACATGGGAGGGAAGCTGAACTGCAAAGGTTCTTTTTAAAAATAAATAAATAAAAATCGCAGTTTAACGTTTATTAGTAATAGGAAAGCGTACTTTTGAAGAAATCAGTGAAAATCACATATTAAATATTTAGGAAATGAACACACAATCCCGTTCAGGCACAGGCATGGCAAACATTGCTAAAGAAAAATAGAGAAAAAAAAGAGTGACATTTATCAGTATTGCAAACTGTTTTGAGGGAGTTTTTTTCCCCGCAATTTATTAAAACTATTGTGGAGTTTTAGTCTGTTGCATACTTCGCATAGAAAGTCTTTAAAAATTTTTTTTTTTTTTTTTTTATGTACATCAGTATTTCCGTCAACACAACCTATTTATCAATATTTCTGTCACACCAGTAAAAGTGGCTCTGTTTTACTTCCCCTTTTTTCTGCCACTCTAAATTTGGCTGTCTTTTCTGAAAAGAATATTACTGGAAAAAATGGCAGAATTTAGCCAGAGAAAGCTCACCGATTTTTAGATCATTTTTTAGAACAATTGAAAAAGTAATTGTCTCTCTAGTAGACGCTACTTAAAGGGATGCTGTAGTGCCTGGAATACAAAGCTGTATTCCTGGCACCATCGTTTCCCCTGCCTACCCCCTCTCTCCACATTAAATAAATGGTTAAAGACCCTTTATTTACTTACCTGATCCCAGCGACGATGTCCCTCGGCTCTGGGTCTCGGTTCCGCCCTCCTCCTCCAGTGTCAAATACCGAACCAAAGGTCCATTTCGATCCAGGAAGCGCCCCCAGAGGGCAATGTAAACACTGCAGTTTTACATTGCAGCACTAAATGCAAAAGGGTCACAGCACTCAGACCACTTCAATGAGCTGAAGTGGTCTGGGTACCTATAGTATCTTTTTAAGCATTAACTGGGCCGAATAACACAGCGAAAGTAAAACAATGTATTTACGTCCTTTGCATTTCTCTGTTGCAGCAACGCCACCATCCCATGATGCACAAGGTGCAGGAGTGTGCCCTGGGACATGTATCAGAGACATGCCATACGCACACTTAGGATTTTCTCTGGTCATGCCTCCACAGAATGTGCTATACGGAGGCCGCCCTGAATCCTAGCCATCCTAATACCAGACCGATCTATAATTCACCTCTTCACTGCCTCATAGTTATCTTCTCTGACATCAGAGGCGGCTGGTGAAGTTTTAAGATGCTACGGCAACAGACGCCTTCCATGGTATTGGACTCTATCCAGATCTCTGTAAACGTCATTTCTGACCTGTGGCATCTGTCCGCTTAACCTCATGTACTCAACCCAACACAACAGATGCTCATAAAATACAATACACAGATATCCATACAATACACAGTGCTAGGCACAGTATAGAGATAGACTAAGTGAAGTACAATACAGAGATACCATACCCAGAGCTGGGCACATTATAGAGATAGACTAAGTGAAGTACAATACAGAGATACCATACCCAGAGCTGGATACAGTATAGAGATAGACTAAGTGAAGTACAATACAGAGATACCATACACAGAGCTGGGCACAGTATAGAGATAGACTAAGTGAAGTACAATACAGAGATACCATACACAGAGCTGGGCACAGTATAGAGATAGACTAAGTGAAGTACAATACAGAGATACCATACACAGAGCTGGGCACAGTATAGAGATAGACTAAGTGAAGTACAATACAGAGATACCATACCCAGAGCTGGATACAGTATAGAGATAGACTAAGTGAAGTACAATACAGAGATACCATACCCAGAGCTGGGCACATTATAGAGATAGACTAAGTGAAGTACAATACAGAGATACCATACACAGAGCTGGACACAGTATAGAGATAGACTGAGTGAAGTACAATACAGAGATACCATACACAGAGCTGGGCACAGTATAGAGATAGACTGAGTGAAGTACAATACAGAGATACCATACACAGAGCTGGACACAGTATAGAGATAGACTAAGTGAAGTACAATACAGAGATACCATACACAGAGCTGGACACAGTATAGAGATAGACTGAGTGAAGTACAATACAGAGATACCATACCCAGAGCTGGGCACAGTATAGAGATAGACTAAGTGAAGTACAATACAGAGATACCATACACAGAGCTGGACACAGTATAGAGATAGACTAAGTGAAGTACAATACAGAGATACCATACCCAGAGCTGGACACAGTATAGAGATAGACTGAGTGAAGTACAATACAGAGATACCATACACAGAGCTGGACACAGTATAGAGATAGACTAAGTGAAGTACAATACAGAGATACCATACCCAGAGCTGGATACAGTATAGAGATAGACTAAGTGACGTACAATACAGAGATACCATACCCGGAGCTGGATACAATAATGAGATACCGATAACTATCACACACAGCCAGGATCACTGCAATGGATACACAGAGCTTCAATACACAGATAATTCCATACAATACAAAGGGGAAGATTTATTATCGTTGACAGTTTCCTGTCTAATTTTCTTGCGTCAATTTACAAAATCTGTCTTTTTTTTTTTTTGTTTGCCCTAATTGTCAAATTTCATTATTCACCAATTTCTTCGGAGACACAAAGAAACTAGGATTTTTTTGCGTTAACTTTATGAATTTTTCTGTCAAGTTTTTGCTAAATGGAAATTTCAGTGTAAAAAATGCTGTAGTTTTTAAATGATTTTAATAAATATGATCAAAATAATGGCAGAATTTAACAGTCACTTTTCTCCCCATAGTCTCTGTATAATGCTCCAGCACTGTCTCTGTCTCTCCCTTTTCTGATTTTAGTAATGCTCCCGCTAGGATTGTCTGACCACTTTAGCGTTATAAGAAATGTAGCTCCTGCGCTTTTCTATAGAAACATAGAATGTGATGGCAGATAAGAACCATTCGGCCCATCTAGTCTGCCCAATTTTCTAAATACTTTCATTAGTCCCTGATCTTATCTTATGCATCCACTACCCTCTCAGTAAAGTAATATTTCCTGATATTATTTTTAAACCTTTGCCCCTCTAATTTAAGACCATGTCCTCTTGTTGTGGTAGTTTTTCTTCTTTTAAATATTTTCTCATCCGCTGTCTAGTTTTATCACTTACCATCTACTTTTCCTCAACCTCTACCCTACTCCTCTGCTTCTGTCTTCACTTCTCACCTATGGCTATTTTTTGTCCCTGCCTAGGCCAGCCCTAAATTCTTTGTTACTAAGTAAGAGTTGTCTGTCCTGTTCTAATGCTCCATTGACCACACCTTTTTTACATATAGGTGACTCAGTCACATACACAATAGGTTTTCCCAGAGCTTATTACCCCTTCTACCTACTGGAACTGCCATATCTTCCTGTAAAGAAATAGCCCTGGCATGGTTTAAAGGACACTATAGTGTTTGAAAGAGGAGTACTAACTAGCTTTCTTCCCTCGTTGTGCTGGTCTTGCCATGGCCTTCCGTGGAGACATTTATCAAAGTGCCAATGACACTTTTTTGTCTAATTTTCTGTTTAAATTTTTTTTATTGCCCTTTTTTCTTCCATTGTCGCGCCCCGCCTCCCTGGTTTATATTAAAGATCTCAGCTAATCCAATGCTTCCCCATAGGGAAGCATGTGGAGGCTAGTGCGCATGCACAGCAAATTACGCCAATCAAATGCTGCTTGAGCCTGACTCGGCTCTCACAGGGAACCGCATCTAGTGGCTATCAAGAACAGAGCCACTAGGGATGTGTTTAACCCTGCAATGGAATCGTTACTGGGTTAAAACTAAAGGCCCACTGCATGCTGACCACTTTATTGAGATGAAGACAATAATCAACAATAATCACACAGGTGGTCTAACAGCCGAGAGAAAAGAAACTGAAGTTAGCAAATATAAACAGAACATTGTTTCAAGGCGAACGCATACATTAATATCTCTAATATAAAATTATAAGAGTTCAAGGGACACTGTAACGGCTTCATCCCATTGAAGTGTTTATGGTGTCTGATACAACTATCCTTCCATTCAGAGTAAAACCATTTATAATGTGAGTCCCCAGCAGTCAATCCCCACTGTGCTGCTTGGACTATTGAAAAATCATTACCATAAGCAGCGACAGAAGGTTGTCAGTGTCAGCGGACTGCTTTCAGTCTATCACTGCAGCCATTGTTGGTATTATTCGGTACGGTTATAAGAAAGTGTGTAATCTCTGCTGTATCCTTATCTCCAGTGGGGGCTACGAGGTGGGCTGCGAGGAACCCTTATTTTGTTTTAAGTTGATTGATATGCTTTAACACTAACTGGAGGGATGGTGCCAGAGGATAACCAATTTAACGAGATGTTGTTATAGTGCTTACATGTCCCTTTAAAGTTGTCTTCTCGTTTTCCATACACTGATTATTGATTTGTATAAGTCATTTCCATTATTCATAACTGGAATATTGCAATTTCTATGCTGTGTACTGTGAATAAAGCTGTTTTTCATTTACAAACCTGGTGAGCACAATCACATCTTTTATCATTTAGTATAACATTAGGAAAGTACCGTGGATTAAAAGCCTTACTTGTATGAACGAATGTAAACTAATTAACAAATTTTTGATATCCAAGTCAGATGTATGTATGTAGTTGATTAAATAAAAGGGTATTGTCAGTGTCATGATGTCAGTGTTACCTAATGCTAGCAGTAAGTGTCAGCCCTGTTGCCAAGCAGTTAATATGAGAAGTGCAGGCTTCGATGCCCAGCAGTTAAAATAAAAAGTTTCGGATGCGGCCTGAGGCTTCATGGAGTAGGACGCGAGTCCCTGCTTTTATTATTTGGATGAAAAGACAGAAGAACTTGTTGCAGCCCACAACTCAATGGCGGACACTTTTACGAGGATATGGAAATTAAGCTGAAGTGGCTGGAAGACAAATTTGACGACCAAGAGGACCAGATCCGGCAATTGCAATTTACTGATCTGGGGGATTCCGGAGGTGGTAGGCCCTGATGTCCTCGTGGACTACGTGACCCAATTATTCCATATGTTGATACCAGAGTCATCATGCGAGGAACTTACGTTGGACTGCACACACAGACTCCCTAAATCCAAACATTTGCCTGCAGGTACACCAAGGGATATCATTGCGGAGGTCCACTGTTATCAAATGAAATAAAGGGTACTGCAGGCTTCTAGGAAAGTTAAAGAGTTACCTAGACAATATGCGGCTGTGCAAGCTGTATGTGGACTTATTTTGCGCCATGTCCAAAAGCAGGGCTTTTGCCAAGATCACGATGGTTCTACGTGCATTAAATATCACCTACAAATGGGGATTCCCTGGTTCGACTCATAGTTTGAAGAAATGAAACATAAAAAAATCTCTTATAATCCGGAAGACGGTTTGAACACCTTGCAACAACGGAACATCCCAGTGTCGATCTGCGAACGACAGCGGGGAGACAAACGAAGAACCGCCTCAAAAAATGACTGGCAGAACGTGTAGACTGTCAAATTAACTGTCCAAACTTTTCCCGCTCTTAGGGTCTGTCTGGAAGTTAAGTGACATCCCTCCAGGATAAGTCACTAAGGGGGCTTCTCACGGTTGACCGACTGACAAGTCTTTATAGAGCTATATTCTGTAAGCTCGTTTGAGCAAGGCCCTCTTCAACCTTTTGTTCCTGTAAGTTTTTGTAATTGTCTCATTTATTGTTAAATCTCCCCCTTTGATACTATTGTAAAGCGCTACAGACTATGCTGGCGCTATATAAATACCAGTAATAATAATAATAATTTTTCTTAACAATGTTGTGCTATAATTTTACATTAAGCTGACACGGTTATTAATGGGACGAAAGAACTCTTACAAGAGCGAGTTTGAGGGAAAGTAAGAAGACATACTGCTGCAGATGGAGGAGCAGGAGATCTCAATTATATTTCCACATTTTCAATGCATCTATCTTAAATGGTGGTTTTAATGTCACTATTTCTCAACCATTCTCATCTCACCTTATCCTTAAGCTGGGTATAACTCAATGGTACAATGTATATAGCTTTTAACCTTTTCTGTTTAACATCCTTTTGTTTTTTTATTTTTTTGCCCTACTCCCATACTTCAACCCAGTAAATCCACATTCCGTTAATCAACAGCCTTGTGCGGGAACAGACAGGGCACCCAACTAATTTTACAATGTGAATGAATGAACCTAGACACCGCACAGGAAAGAGGTAGATTCGAAGAGGTTTGGAAAAAATGGTCAGACTTGCAGCATCAACACTAGGACATACAGATGGGGACAGAGACGAGCTAGAGAAGACAGGATGGGGAAACACACTTCGAAAAGTCAATCACATTGAGAACACCAACGGGTCACACGTCAGGGTACAACAATGGAGAGTTAGTGCCTCGGTTTAGTCTAGTTACTGGGATTATATGTTGGTGTTTCTATAAGTAACTGGCATAATGATGTACTGTACCCTCATACAGCTATGCAACATCACTAAATATGCATCTGCATTTGGTTCATCATAATACCATCTAATTTTCTATGACTTTGGACCAACTGATCCTTATGCTATTATATGAACAGGTTTCCCATTTTGTATTTTTTTGGGTAGCGTAATTGTATACCGCAGGTACTCCCTGCACTCTTATGCATGTTCATAGTAGAAAAGGCTGGGTATACCTAATATATTGTACAATGGTACAACCTCCTTTGATTTTTTTATGTATGTAATAAAATCTTAATAAATAATACATTTAAAAAACATTTTTTTATTAAAGTAAGTCAGTTTTGTTGCCCAGGAGCTAACATGAGTGTAAGTTCTGCAGCAGTTACTTTAAAAAAAAAAGTGTCAGCTCTGTTGCCAAACAGTTAGTATGAAGTGTAAGCTCTGTTGCCAAGCAGTTAGTAGAAATGTAAGTTCTGTTGCCAAGCGGTTAGTAGAAGTGTCAGCTCTGTTGCCAAGCGGTTAGTATAAGTAAAGTGTCATCTCTGTTGCCAAGCAGTTAGTAGAAGTGTAGTGTAAACTCTGTTGCCAAGCAGTTAGTAGAAATGTAAGCTCTGTTGCCACGCAGTTAGTAGAAGTGTCAGCTCTGTTGCCAAGCAGTTAGTATAAATGAAGTGTCAGCTCTGTTGCCAAGCAGTTAGTATAAGTTAAGTGTCAGCTCTGTTGCCAAGCAGTTACTAGAAGTGTAAGCTCTGTTGCCAAGCAGTTAGTATAATTGAAGTGTCAGCTCTGTTGCCAAGCAGTTAGTAGAAGTGTTAGCTCTGTTGCCAAGCAGTTAGTAGAAGTGTAAGCTCTGTTGCCAAGCAGTTAGTATAAGTGAAGTGTCAGCTCTGTTGCCAAGCAGTTAGTATAAGTGTTAGCTCTGTTGCCAAGCAGTTAGTATAAGTGTCAACTCTGTTGCCAGTTACTACAAGTAAAGCGTCAGCTCTGTTGCCAAGCAGTTAGTAGAAGTGAAGTGTCAGCTTCGTTGCCAAGCAGTTAGTATTAGTGTCAGCTCTGTTGCCAAGCAGTTAGTATAAGTGAAGTGTCAGTTCTGTTGCCAAGCAGTTAGTATAAGTGAAGTGTCAGCTTTGTTGCCAAGCAGTTAGAAGTGTCAGCTCTGTTGCCAAGCAGTTAGTAGATGTGTTCGCTCTGTTGCCAAGCAGTTAGTAGAAGTGTTAGCTCTGTTGCCAAACAGTTAGTAGAAGTGAAGTGTCAGCTCTGTTGCCAAGCAGTTAGTATAAGTGAAGTGTCAGCTCTGTTGCCAAGCAGTTAGTAGAAGTGTCAGCTCTGTTGCCAAGCAGTTAGTAGAAGTGAAGTGTCAGCTCTGTTGCCAAGCAGTTAGTAGAAGTGTCAGCTGTGTTGCCAAGCAGTTAGAAGAGAAGTGCACAGCTCTGTTGCCAAGCAGTTAGTAGAAGTGTCAGCTCTGTTGCCAAGCAGCTAGTATAAGTGAAGTGTCAGCTCTGTTGCCAAGCAAAGGGTATAAGTGAAGTGTCAGCTCTGTTGCCAAGCATAGGTAGAAGTGTCAGCTCTAAGGCTACAGTTAGTAGAAATGCTCAGCTCTGTTGCCAAGCAGTTAGTATAAGTGAAGTGTCAGCTCTACAAGCTGGGCAGTTAGTAGAAGTGCCGGGGCTCTGTTGCCAAGCAGTTAGTAGAAGTGAAGTGTCAGCCTTGCTGCTGCTGTGTTGCAGGAAGCAAGTCAGCTTGCAAGGCCAAGCAAGCAGTTAGTATGCAAGTGTTAAATGCTGCCAAGTGTTAGTATAAGTGAAGTGCTTAGCCTTGTTGCTACAGTTAGTGTAAAAGTGAAGTGTCAGCTATGTTGCTGCTGGTGCTGGGGTATAAGTAAAGTGTTAGCTCTGTTGCCAAGCAGTTAGTATAAGTGAAGTGTCAGCTCTGTTGCCAAGCAGTTAGTATAAGTGAAGTGTCAGCTCTGTTGCCAAGCAGTTCTTTGACCCTGATGACCTCTGAGGTGTGAGTGCCGGTAGGTAGTGCAGCCCGCTCCCCGCCCGGTGTACCGACATACCTCCTCCTCCTCCTCCTCCCGGTCCCAGCGGTCACCTGTCACTGTGCGCGTGCACGGCTCCGGATCTCACTTTCTGAGGGTGACGTAACGACCAGAGCGTGCATCGAGGCCACGCCCACAACGACTCCAAACCACGCCCACAATGGCTACAAACTACGCCCGCAACTACAAAAACACGCCCACACCAGCTCTAAAACTACGCCCACACCTACTCCACACCACGCCCACACAAGCTCTTAAACCACGCCCACGCTGGCTCCAAACCACGCCCATACCGACTCCAAACCACGCCCGCAAATACAGAAAACACGCCTCCTGCCTGCAAGGTCAAGGAGAGAGTCTGCTGCACTCACACTCACTGAGCCACTTACTATCCTCACTGAGTGCAGCTCCCAGCCTGACTGTAACACTCACTGAGTGCAGCTCCCAGCCTGACTGTAACACTCACTGAGTGCAGCCCCCACCCTGACTGTAACACTCACTGAGTGCAGCTCTGACTGTAACACTCACTGAGTGCAGCCCCCACCCTGACTGTAACACTCACTGAGTGCAGCTCTGACTGTAACACTCACTGAGTGCAGCCCCCACCCTGACTGGGGCCATCACCGAGTGCAGCCCCACCTGGACTGTAACACTCACTGAGTGCAGCTCTGACTGTAACACTCACTGAGTGCAGCCCCACCCTGACTGTAACACTCACTGAGTGCAGCTCTGACTGTAACACTCACTGAGTGCAGATCTGACTGTAACACTCACTGAGTGCAGCCCCCACCCTGACTGTAACACTCACTGAGTGCAGATCTGACTGTAACACTCACTGAGTGCAGCCCCCACCCTGACTGTAACACTCACTGAGTGCAGCTCCCAGCCTGACTGTAACACTCACTGAGTGCAGCTCCCAGCCTGGCTGTAACACTCACTGAGTGCAGCTCCCACCCTGGCTGTAACACTCACTGAGTGCAGCTCCCAGCCTGACTGTAACACTCACTGAGTGCAGCTCCCACCCTGGCTGTAACACTCACTGAGTGCAGCCCCCACCCTGACTGTAACACTCACTGAGTGCAGCTCCCACCCTGGCTGTAACACTCACTGAGTGCAGCCCCCACCCTGGCTGTAACACTCACTGAGTGCAGCTCCCACCCTGGCTGTAACACTCACTGAGTGCAGCTCCCACCCTGGCTGTAACACTCACTGAGTGCAGCCCCCACCCTGGCTGTAACACTCACTGAGTGCAGCCCCACCCTGGCTGTAACACCACTGAGTGCAGCCCCCACCCTGGCTGTAACACTCACTGAGTGCAGCCCCCACCCTGGCTGTAACACTCACTGAGTGCAGCTCCCACCCTGGCTGTAACACTCACTGAGTGCAGCCCCAACCCTGGCTGTAACACTCACTGAGTGCAGCCCCCACCCTGGCTGTAACACTCACTGAGTGCAGCCCCCACCCTGACTGTAACACTCACTGAGTGCAGCTCTGACTGTAACACTCACTGAGTGCAGCCCCCACCCTGACTGTAACACTCACTGAGTGCAGCTCTGACTGTAACACTCACTGAGTGCAGATCTGACTGTAACACTCACTGAGTGCAGCACCCAGCCTGACTGTAACACTCACTGAGTGCAGCCCCCACCCTGACTGTAACACTCACTGAGTGCAGCTCCCAGCCTGACTGTAACACTCACTGAGTGCAGCCCCCACCCTGGCTGTAACACTCACTGAGTGCAGCTCCCACCCTGACTGTAACACTCACTGAGTGCAGCTCCCACCCTGGCTGTAACACTCACTGAGTGCAGCTCCCACCCTGGCTGTAACACTCACTGAGTGCAGCTCTCACCCTGACTAACACTCACTGAGTGCAGCTCCCACCCTGGCTGTAACACTCACTGAGTGCAGCTCTCATCCTGACTGTAACACTCACTGAGTGCAGCTCTCACCCTGACTAACACTCACTGAGTGCAGCTCCCACCCTGGCTGTTACAGTCACAGATTGTGTGGCCAGCATTTTACTATTAGTCACAGGTTTATTAAACAAAAAGCAAACAATATATAGACCCAGTTTGTAATGTAGCCCATGGAGCAGCGCAGCTAAGGGGAGTGGGCCTTGACATTGCCAGGAGACAGGCCATCTAGGGGTCAGGGATTGGTCATTGGAAATGGTGGGGTGGGGTTTCAAGGGGAGTATAAGTAGTGGCCATTTTAGATCCAAGGATCACTTTAATCTAAGTTACACTACCTGTTTGTTGTCCCACCCACCCTCCCTTTGTTTTCAGGTGTTTCCCGTTTGGTCACGGCGGTGGGGGATGGAGAGTAAAGTTGGGGGGAGAAAAGAGTGAGATGGGGAAAAAGTTTGGAGTTCAGGGCTAATAGTTAGGCCTTTGGACTGGTTTGGTAGGTTCGAACTCGTAGGTAGCTCCGAACCGGGGTGTGTATGGGGTGTCTCGGTATGCCCCTACACTTGTGGTGCCCTTTGGTGGCAATGGATGGTGCCCTTTGGTGGCAATGGTTATGTTCATGTTAAATAAAATGTTCAATGTTTGGGTGTTATGTGGGGGTGGGTCATTGTCAAGGGGTTAATTGTAAATGCAGGATGTTAATTGGGCAGGCCAACGTTGGCCTGCTGTTGACAATGACCATTAAATTTATGTTAATTACAAATAAAGCTGTGATATAATTTTGCCAAAACCATGGTGTCTGTGCTTTATTGAGGATTGGGGATTTGGTGGGGTTTTTTAACCCCTTAAGGACCAAACTTCTGTAATAAAAGGGAATCATGACATGTCACACATGTCATGTGTCCTTAAGGGGTTAAGCAGAGGCCGACAGGGCGACTGTGCTCATGTCATGCATTTGTTATATATTACCCATCTTGTAGCCAGTCTGTTCTTCAGATGGAGTTCGCAGCATTTGACTCAATCTACGTTTTGGGATCTTTTGTGGTTTTACACATTTTGTTCAGTTTCCTTTTTCTTGGAAATTACAATGTAGAAAACACCCTACGACAGTTTCACTGTGCGATGCTTGTCAGTGAGTTTGCACACTAGCTATATCCAGTGCTCTGCACAGGTTCACACTATTAATTCACGGTTATTCACTAATCGGTTAATTGTCGTGAATTCACATTTAATTACAAATTTTAGAAATAGTTGAATTGAAAACATAGCCGACTTACGCATTTTTTCTGTTTCGCACATTTGAATTTGGCTTTGAATCTCTGATAGTTCATGCTTTAGAGAACAGTTTGGGATTTGGATTTCAGCTCACTACGTAGAGGTTTTTTTTACTAAATTGGAATAATTTCAAAACCAACCAAAAAAAACCCTCTGATTTAGAAACATTCTGTTACTTGGTTCCAAGTCCATAGCTTTGCTATTTCACAATTCAGATTTTAACACTTTACAATCTGGTGATTAGTGGGATTTATTTACTAAACTCTAAATTGCAGATAATTGAAATCTGAAAGGCGATATATAAACTAAAATAGCTCAGCTGTAACTATAGCTGCAAACAGTACAAGTTTAGCGTAACATTTTAGAGTTAATTTTTCAGTTATTATTGTTATTATTTTTTAAAGCGCCGACAAATTCCGCAGCGCTGTACAATAGGAGACTCGTTACAATTCAGAGTTTATTGAATAAACGTTTTAGGGAATTAGAAATTGAAATGTGACTGCTAAAACGTAGGCTATAACTGCCAGGCCGAGAATATGACTAAATTGGAGCATTGCTCCACATTAGCTATTTATATCTACACATATCATTATGGGATGTACAGAGATCAGCCTATATTTGTCAATGTACTGCAAGTCTTGCATGATGATGCACAAGTATTGCACTGATATAATGGTATAGAGATGTAACCAAGTACAAAAAGTGAAAACGTGCAGCGTGGTATTTCCATTAATCTATAATTCGTGAATTTAATGAAATAGTGAGAATTCAAGGTGAGTTTCAACTGAATTTCAAATTAAAAGTCAAAGTAGCCAATTTTCACTTTAGTTAAAAGCCCTGCTAGTATCTATAATACATATATATTTTTTAAACAATCTTTATTTTAAATTTTTTAGTTTTATACATGCAAAACAAAAGTGAATGCAGCTTTGAGATGTTCAGCCACTCGTAGGTGGTATACAAAGTTATACATATATATATACAGATATACAGGTGATACTCGAAAAATTTGAATATCGTGCAAAAGTTCCTTTATTTCATTAAAGCAACATAAAAGGTGAAACTAATATATGAGATAGACGCAGTACATGCAAAGCAAGATAGTTCAAGCCGTGATTTGTCATAAGTGCGATGATTATGGCTTACAGCTCATGAAAACCCCAAATCCACAATCTCAGTAAATTAGAATTTTGTGAAAAAGTGCAATATTCTAGGCTCATAGTGTCCCACTCTAATCAGCTAAGTAAGCCATAACACCTGCAAAGGGTTTCTGAGCCTTTAAATGGTCTCTCAGTCTGGTTCAGTAGGAATCACTGCATGCAGAAAACCACCATTGACACCCACCATTTGCATTTAAAAACATGTGATCAACATAGGAGAACAACAATCTCCTGGTCATCTCGCCTCTCACTCCATCCGTCTCCCTGGCCTGGTCAACACCACTGAGGAGAGACAGGTAACTTCCGCTGTTCTGATCCAGCACGGCTCTCAGGGACCCCCGCAGGTCTCCGGATAGTCTGGATTGGGTAGGCGTTTTGCCATGTAGGAGCACCAGGGGGCCCACCTCAGAGTACATTTCTCAGTAATGCCATGTAAGGAGGCCATGAGGGATTCCATGTTGTATAAAGGGTAGAGGAGAGCCTGGGAAACTGAATATTCCTACCACGAGCTGGGCAGTTCAAAGTGTTGCTGGTTACAACGGCAATGCTCCAAGGAACTTCCAAGAGAGGTGAACTCTGCCTGCAGCCAGAGGAATTGTAAGCTAGAGTAATTGCAATGTTCCCCCATATACACCGTGTTCCAAATTATTATGCAAATTATATTTTTCACCTAAATAATTGATGTAAATAACAGTCAGCATAATTCTCATGTTATCAACTATTAAGAGTACAATTCAAATTTTATTAACCAAACCTCCTAATGATAACAGTATTTTTTTTAAACATAAAAAACTTACAATACACTGTTCCAAATTA